CTGTGCTTTTTATTACAATGGGCTCACATCCTTTTCCCCCCATATTTTTTATTGGTACATGATAGTTGTACACAATAGTGGGATTTGCTGATACATATTTGTACATGTGCACAATATAGCAATATAATTTGATCAATATCACTCCCCAGTATTTTCCCTTTCCTTCAATGCATGTCATTTCTTTTTTTATTTGTTTAATTAGTTATACATGACAGCAGAACGCATTTCAATTCATTGTACACAAGTGGAGCACAACTTTTCATTTCTCTGGTTGTACACAATGTAGAGTTGTACCACATGTGAAGTCATACACAACATTCCTAGGGTAATGTTGTTCATCTCATTCCACCATCCTTCCTGGCCCCATACCCTCTCTCCTCCCTCCCTCCCCTTTGTCCAATCAAAGTTCCTCCATTTTTCCCATGCCCCCCTCCCCCATTATGGATCAGCATCCACTTATCAGTGAGAAAATTCAGCCTTTGGTTTTATGGGATTGGCTAACTTCACTTAGTATGATATTCTCCAACTCCATCCATTTACCTGCAAGTGCCATGATTTTATTCTGTTAATACTGAGTAATATTCCATTGTGTATATGTACCACAGTTCCTTTATCCATTCATCTACTGAAGGGCATCTAGGTTGGTTCCACAATTTAGCTATTGTGAATCGAGCTGCTCTAAACACTGATGTGGCTGTATCAATATAGTATGCTGATTTTAAGTCCTTTGGGTATAGACAGAGGAGTGGGATAGCTGGGTCAAATGGTGGTTCCATTCCAAGTTTTCTAAGGAATCTCCATATTGCTTTCCATAGTGGTTGTACCAATTTTGCAGTGCCACTAGCAATGTATGAGTGTACCTTTTACTCTACATCCTCGCCAACACTTATTATTGCTTGTTTTCTTGATAATTGCCATTCTGACTGGAATGAGATGAAATCTTAGAGTAGTTTTAACTTGCATTTCTCTAATTACTAGAGATTACATTTCTCTAATTACATTTTTTCATATATTTGTTGATCAATTGTATATCTTCTTCTGAGAAGGATCTGCTCAGATCCTTAGCCCATTTATTGATTGGGTTATTTATTTTTTTTTTGGTGTTAAGTTTTTTGAGTTTTTTATATATCCTGGAAATTAGTGCTCTATCTGATAAGCATGTAGCATTCTCCAGGAGTCTGTCAAATCTCTTGCCTCTGTAACAAGATGGCGGCTATTAGCACACCTAGCAGGGATACCTCTGGTGTAACCAAGCCTGCAGGGGCCTTGATGATGGTCTTCTGGATCCTGGCTGTTTTCCAGCTGGATGGAAGCGACCATGTTCGTAGTTGTTGGTGGGGTAGTGTCAAATCTGTAAATATCTTGGTGTTAGGCTTCCAGCCACCAGCCGGTGTCCCAAGATAGAAGCTGCTGCAATTAAAGATGGTGTTAGTAGCAGAGGAGATAACCTGAGATGGCATTGGAGGTGTCCCAAGATGATGGCTACCACTTTTAGAGATGGGGCTGAATGGTCAAGCCAAACAATGGCTTTGGGTGACCTGTTTGGAGATACAGCGCTGTGGTATGTGACCGTGGTCCTCAGCATGGTTGGCAGTCCTTTTCCTGTGCTTGGGCCTGGGCGCTGCATTGCATAGTCGGTCAGTACTGGGCCTGCCTGGTCTCTGCGGTGGTCTGCAGGTCCTGGAAGAGGGTTTTTAGAGTCATAGAAAAAGGTCTATTTTTTTTAACCAGTGTAGCAGCTTACCTCTTAAAAAGCAGTCAGCCTGGAATGGTGGGGCACGCTTACAATCCCAGCAGCTGGGGAGGCTGAGGCAGGAGGAAGGCAAATTCAAAGCCAGTCTCAGCAATTTAGCAAGACCCTAAGCATTTTAGCAAGATCCTGCCTCAAAATATAAAAAGGACTGGGGATATAGCTCAGTGGTTAAGCACCTCTGGATTCATTCCCTGGTACAACAAACAAATAACAACAACAACAACAAAACCCTACTCAGAAATACCTACATGGAGTCTGGTAGGGTCATTTAAAACTCTGTCATGGTGAAGGAAATAATATTTAATTTTCCAAAATGATCCATTCAGACTGGTTGAATCTTTTCAAACAGAACTTATTCCTCATTTTGTAAAATCAAAAAGAATATGTTTTGGAACCATGACTTAACTCTAAATAAGAGAGGAGAGAAAACAAAAATTAGAAAAATGACCCAGGTAGTGGGCAGCTAACAGGTGAGCTGTATGTACCACTTCTGGTGAACATAGTTGCCCCCACAGCATGTCAACAGCAATTGGACCAGGGCATCCCTTGACCTGGAACAAGATAGAAAGAAGGCCACTTCCTAATGAGGGCTGATTGGGAGACAGACAAGGTGGTTGTGCCACTGCAGAAGGAACCGAATGTCCTCCTCTCCGGGCTAGTGCGAGCACTTGCAGCTTGTGAATCGATGCCAACCCCACCCGCTCTGTGCACTTTGTTTCCTAGACAATGGTAATTAAGGCAACAACCCGCAAACTGCTCCCACTTCCTGACAGCACCCAACTGGGAACAGAACCCCAATCACCTGCCGCTGCCCACACCCTGCAACAAGCCCCGCCCCCCAGCCTCCTCCTGCTCAGATGTTCTGTGGTTCCTGGGGTGAGTCCTGCCTGGTCGCACAGCTGACTACACCTCAGTGTTCCCACGACGGTGTGCGTTCCCGCACACTGGGCTTCAACATCTGTCAACATGAGTAGAAAGGAAAGCATTCTCCAGGAGTCTGTCAACTCTTCTGTTTAGAAGAGGCTAATGTCCCCAGGGCCTCTATGCTACTGTTCTGATCTGGGCCACCATTGGCTCTCACTGGGTCATTGCAATAGCCAAAAGAAAAACACGAAATTTAGTGATTTTTTTTAATTTAAAAAAATTTTTTTTTTTTGGTACTCCCTCCAAAAAAATTGAACCCAGGGGAACTTTACCATGGAGCCCTTTTTATTTTTTTTATTTTGAGACAGGGTCTCACTAAGTTTCTGAGAGCCTTGCTAAGTTGCTGAAGCTGTACTTGAACTTGTGATCCTCCTGTCTCAGCCTCCCAAGTCCCTGGGGTTACAGGCATGCACCACCACACCTAACAATTTAGGAAAGTTTAATGCAGCAAAGAATGACTCATGAATCAGGCAGCTCTCAAAACCAGAAGAGGTTTGGAGAACTTGAACCTGCAATGTAGTCAGGCAGCATTTATGGACAGAAAATGGAAAGTAAGGTACAGAGGCAGCTTGATTGGCTGTAGCTCAGCCTTTACCTTATTTGAACATGGTCTCATGGGTTGGCCTCCTGTGGTTGACTGAAGCTCAGCTGCTGATTGGCTGACTCAGCTACTTGTTACAAAAGCACACTTCTAAGTTTGGGGTTCAGAGAGTTCACAGTTAGGATGTAGTTCACTATGTAGGACTCACGCAATGAAGTCCAAATTTGGTTTTTAACACCTCCTAACTGTAATGCTTGCTGTTATCAGTGTCTTCCTCTTCATCTCAATATTTACCTTTACTTCCAATTCCCAGTTCTTCTCAGTATAGCACAAAAACAACCCTCTGAAAATTTAATTTAGATTTTGTCTAAATTAAATTCCAGTGGCTGTCATCTTGCTCAGTGTTGAAGCCCAAGTCCTTACCTCGGTCCCCAAGGCCCTACATGACCTGATCCTCCACTTCTCACCTTCCTTCACTCACTCTATTTCAGCCTCAGTGGCCTCTGTGCTGTTCCTTGATCACACCAGGCCTGCTCCTTCCACAGGGCCTTTGCACTCACTGATCCCTTTGATTACTGAGCTTTTGCTGCATGAATGTACATAGTGTGCTTCTGTATTTTCCTCAAGTCTGTGCTAAGCTGTCACCTTCTGAATGAGAGCCTCCTCAACCTCCAAGTAAAATTATGCTCCCTACTTTGCCACTTTTAGCCTCTTGATTATACTTTATTATTCCCTGTAGTGTTTTCATCATAAAATATACCGCATGGTTTACTTATTTTTCTCATTGTCTGGTTCCAGTGGGCATGTGGGTAGGTACCTTTCTCTGGGTTGTTCCGTGATGTTGCCCAGATCCCTACAACACAGCCAGTGACCCAGCCACTTTATGCCTCAGTGTCCTCATTTGTAAAATGGGACAAAAATAATCAACTGTATCAACTGTATTATCTTTCATAAGTTAATATCTCTAAAGGTAATATCCTGGAGCACTCGAGAGAGCTATGCAATGCTTGCTGTTATTAGTGTCTTCCTCTTCATCATTGTTCTTCTTATTATTGTTCAGGTAGCAAAGCAGCATATACAGAGACAAGTGTGTGCCCAGCAGAAAGAAGTTTGGGGGCACTGATGGTAGCAGCCATAATGCCCACCAGGAGTAGGGACTGTATATTTCATAACCTGAAATAAATGTTGGGGTTTTTTCTTTCAATTATTTATGATCTTTTTTCTACAAAGATGCAAGCCTCATGAAGAACTGCCTGGTTTCTGGGCAAAGCACTGTACCCCAAGCCTTTATAATAATGACTGGCAACAGAGCTGTTGAGTGACAAACAGTAAGTAAGTGAACAAGGGGGTAGGTGTTTATTTTCCCTTCTTCTCCCCAAAGGGATTTGCAATAACATGGAAAAGGAGCAAAAGTGGTTGCAATAAGATGGAAAAGATACAAAAGTGAGAGAGGACATGGGGGCAGGAAAGATGGTGGAATGAGATGGACATCATTACCCTAGGCACTCGTATGACTGAATGTACGGGCGGGTGCTACACGGTGTACAACCAGAGAAATGAAAAGTTGTGCTGCACTTGTGTACCACGAACCAAAATGCATTCTGCTGTCATATATACCTAAATAGAATAAATAAACTAATTTAAAAAAAATCCTATAAACCTCCATATAACAACAACAAGATACAAAAGTGATGGATGAGCTGGTGGCTGCAACCCAACAGGTGCAGAGGCTGAAAGGTGCGCGGCCTGGTTCTGGGGATTCCGGGCGTCCACTGAGTCTGCAGCTGTCGCAGAAACGCCCCGCTGGCCAGCTCGCCCTCGCCACCTTCTTACTCCTTTCTTGGCCCCGCCCTGCTGGCTGAGTGACAAGAGGAAATGTTTTCCCCGCAGGGGACCAGCCTTCTAGGATCCGTGGCTGCTGAATGAAGGACTGCCAGGTTCCTGAGCGTGGAAGGTAGGATGGGCAGAGGGAGGCGAGCTGGGGCGGGCGCTGGGGGCCTGCGAAGTCGTTCTTTGAAAACTCCTTTGCACTTTGGGACTGGAGAGGAAAGGGCCTGGGGGAGTGGAAGGAGTGGACACAGCCTGCTGGCCCCCTCTGCAGGAGCCCGGGGGACTGAACCCTTTCCTTCCTGCAAGCTGTGACAGCCCACACACTGTTTACTCCAGTCCTCCGTTTCTAGGGCTTCCCTGGTCACAGGAGAAAACGAAACTGAAGCAGGACTTGACTTCCTGTACTTGAGTGTTTTGCGTGTGTGTGTGTGTGTGTGTGTGTGTGTGTGTGTGTGTCTGTGTTTTCTTTCCTTCTCTGCTCCTTTATGTACACCAGCCCACCTCATATCGGGTTGTAACCAGAACTGTGTGCTGCAAACTTTCCTTCAAAGATTTCATTGCTGGGTGATCAATCATGTTTAAGTTGCACAACTGATTAGACCTGAAGAGGTTGGCTTGGTGAATGATGTCGCTGGTGCCACTTATTGAAATTTTCAAAAGGGGGGGGCTGTTAATTGAATGAGATCTTCCGGGTCCACCTGAGCACAGTTGGATTAAACCGACAGGCCCTGACACACCCCGCCTTTCTATTTGTGTAGTATTTATATGCACATGGGTGGGGAGAATAGGCATGATTCATTACATTGTTTTTTCATAAAGAGATGTGATTAGCTCTACAATTCATCGAATGCCTGATATTTGCTACATGCTGTATTTTAATGCTCTCTACACACATGACCTTGTTTAGTGTTGTCCCCATTTGAGGAAATTGGGACTCAACTATCTCAGATTACACAATCAGGAAGTTGCCTTCAAAAGTTATACCACCAGGTCCTCAAATTCAGAGTTCACGGAGGTCAGAATTCAATTCTTTCCTTTCCTACTTTGAGTAGGCATTCCAAGTGGACTTGCACCAACTCAACAAAGGCAGGGACGGGCCTGGCTGGTGACAGAAGAAACGCAAAAGGACCCAAGCGATGAAGTGCACTTTTCCTATTAAATGAGTTTTTTTTTTAAGAAATGATTTTTTGTTAGTCAACGTACATATAATGTTGAAGGAGATTTGTTGATATAGATTGAGAATGTTAAACGCAATCAAAACTTTGACCAGTCATGCAGTTCTTTGAAATCTATTGTAAGATCTATCAAAAGGTAACAAGGTAAAATGAGCTGAATTTGCTGCAACATTCACTCAAACTTATTTTAAAAATCTTGCTTAAAACATTAAGGAAACACTCAGCCATGGAGAAAATGAAACAACTGTGGGATGGCCTATTACACACCACTAAAAAGCTTTAGAAAGATTTTGTGATAACAGGAAATTTTGCATAGTATGACATTAAATGGAAGGAACCAGGATACTTACACATTCTGACTATTATTTTTTAAAAGCCCATAGAAAAAATACAGTAAGGGGCTGGGGATGTGGCTTAAGCGGTAGCTCGCCTGGCATGCGTGTGGCCCGGGTTCGATCCTTAGCACCACATACAAACAAAGATGTTGTGTCCGCCGAGAACTAAAAAATAAATATTAAAAAATACTCTCTCGGGAGGGGGATAGTAGAGGATAGGAAAGGTAGCAGAATACATCAGTCACTAGTATGGCATTATGTAAAAATGTGAATGTGTAACCTATGTGATTCTGCAATCTGTATTTGGGGTAAAAATGGGAGTTCATAACTCACTTGAAACTATTGTTTGAAGTATGATATGTCAAGAGCTTTGTAAGGTTTTGAACAACCAATAAAAAAAAATACTCTCTCTCTCTTTAAAAAAAAAAAAGAAAGAAAAGATACAGTAAAATATTATTCATGACTCTTTCTGGATAGGGAACTATAGAGTAATAATGTTCTTATGTTTAATTTAAATATATTCACAATATTCTGTAAGGTAGAAGTTCTGTAGCGAGTAAGTAGATGTATTCACAACAAGTTGCTAGTAAAATTAATGGCTATGACTCAAACGTGTTTTCCTGTTCTGAAACGACAGAGTGTCCAGGTGGGATGTCAGAAGGCTGACAGTATTGTTCCTCTTGATACTGCTGGCTGCAGCCAGGTAATCCCAACGCACACTCCAAGGCTCTGACCAAGTCCCAAGGAGAAAAACCATCATTTTCTGAAAGAAAACGCAACAAGTTGCAGCCAGTGGCCTGTTACACACCACATCATGGAGACCGATGATCACAAGGCCACCCAGGAGGAACCCATGTCGTGCAGCCGTGGGACAGCTAGAGTGGAAGACAGTTGTAAGCTGATTGAGGCTATTCACAAGGAAGATGTGGATGAAATCCAGCAACTGCTGCACAGAGGGGCTGATGTCAACTTCCAGGAAGAAGTAGGGGGTTGGACACCTTTGCATAATGCAGTCCAATGTGGCAGGAAGGACATTGTGGAACTTCTGCTCCGTCACGGTGCTGACCCTCACCAGAGGAAGAGGAACGGGGCCACTCCCTTCATCATCGCTGGGATCATGGGACACGTGGAGCTGCTGCAGCTTTTCCTTTCCAAAGGGGCCGATGTCGATGAGTATGACTCCAATGGCTTCACAGCTCTCATGGAAGCTGCTGGGCGGGGTAGGATCAAAGCTCTCAGGTTTCTTTATGAGAGCGGAGCCAAGGTGAATCTGCATCGAAACTCTAAAGAGGAACAAAAGCGGCTGAGGAAAGGAGGGGCCACGGCTCTCATGGACGCTGCTGAAAATGGCCACACAGATGTCCTGAGGATTCTCCTGGATGAGATGGGGGCAGACGTCAACGCCAGGGACAATATGGGCAGGAATGCCTTGATCCACGCTCTCCTGTCACGCTCTCCTGATAGCAGTGTGGAGGATATTACCCGCCTTCTGCTGGATCACGGGGCTGATGTCAATGTGAGAGGAGAAAGAGGCAAGACGCCCCTGATCCTAGCAGTGGAAAAGAAGCATGTTGGTTTGGTACAGATGCTTCTGGAACAAAAGTGTATAGAGATCGATGACACGGACAGCGAGGGCAAGACAGCCCTGCTGGCTGCTGTGGAGCTCAGACAGACCCGGATGGCCCAGCTGCTGTGCCACAAGGGGGCCAGCACGGATTGCGGGCCTCTCGTGAGGACAGCGAAACTGAATTACGACCACTCCCTGGTGAAGCTCCTTCTCTCCTGCGGAGCTAGAGACTGTTTCCAGCCTCCTCCTGAAGACTGGGAGCCCCAGAGTTCACGTTGGGGGTCAGCCCTGAAAAAACTGCACAGAATGTACCGCCCGATGATTGGCAAACTCAAGATATTTATGGATGAAGAGTATAAAGTTGCTGAGACTTCTGAAGGGGGCATCTACCTGGGTTTCTATGAGGAGAAAGAGGTGGCTGTGAAGCTATTCCTCGAAGACAGTGCACGTGCAGAAAGGGAAGTCTCCTGTCTGCAGAGCTGCCGAGAGAACAGTAACTTGGTGACACTCTATGGGAGCGAGAGCCACAAGGGCTGTTTGTATGTGTGCGTGGCCCTCTGTGAACGGACTCTGGAAGAGCACTTGGATGTGCACAGAGGGGAAGCTGTGGAGAACGAGGAAGATGAGTTTGCTCGAAATGTCCTCTTATCTATATTTAAGGCTGTTCATGAGCTGCACTCGTTGCATGAATACACTCATCAGGATCTGCAGCCAAGAAACATCTTAATAGGTGAGTCCCTCTCTCAGTCATTTTGTGTGTGTGTGTGTGCTGCTATGACAGAGTGCCACAGACTGGGAAATTTATAAAGAATAGAGATTTCGTTCTGGGAAGTTCATTGGCATCTGGCAAGAAACTTCTTGCTGTGCTGTCCGCGGAGGAAGGCAGAAGGGCAGGAAGGACAAGAGAGAAAGAGGAAGCCAAACTTCTTTTACATCAAACCCGCTCTGGATAATGGCATTTGTGAAAGCAGATCCCTCATGATGTACTCAGCTCCTGAGAGTCCCACCTCTTGACACCAATTATAAACTATAAAACTCCTAGAAGGTAACGTAGGAGAAAAATCTAGACACCCTTGGGTTTGGGGATGACTTTTTAGATGAAATATCCAAGACCTGATCTATGGAGGGAAAAAGATGGATAAGCAATAAGAATTAATTGACTTGATTAAAATATAAACATTTCTGCTCTGTAAAAGGCACTTCAATAGATGACAAGCAAGCTATATAGCCTGAGAGAAAAAAATATCTGCAAAAAGACATGTCAGTTAGACAGTTGTTACCAAAAAGAACAAAGGACTCTTAAAACTCTAAAATGGAATTACCTGATATTAGAGAAACGGCATTTAGGCTCCTCAGTAGCTGGGTGGAGGGCAGATCCTAACTGCCCACAAACTGTTTATGATTTAATTGCAGAAACTAAGCCTAAGTGTTTGAAAAAAAATTATAGCATTTTAATATCATCTGTTGAATCTAATAGTAAGAGGTTAAGGCCGAGTGTTAGGAGAACAGTGAAGTGTTCCAGTTAGGCACCTTTGGATTCAAGGGCAGAAAACACAACTCCAAGTGGCTTCAAAAACGAAGGGAAATTATTGGTTCCAGTTACTGAAAACCATCCCTGGATTTCCATGCACACCCTACCTGCCTCTGCAGACTCTTGCAGGCCACTTCCCGACTTCAACCCTGCTCTCTGGACCCTTCTTTCCATCAGTTTGGAATTCTCCAGGTTCCTCTCAGCCTTGGGAATTCGTGTCTGGAATTCTACTTCGATTTTTAGTCTAAGTGTTTCTTCCTTAAAGAAGACTGATCCTCACCTCCCCAATCCTAGAGCTTTCCTATGGCTGACGGACAACCAACCAACAATGCTCTAAATCCAAGTCTGTCTTGGCGTAGTGTTCCACTAAATTAAGCTAACCAGCCACAATCCAGCTGGACGTTTTATACAGTTATCACAGAGCATCCTGTACTTTGTGCTAGTATTTCCACAATTGCAAAGATATTTTTACATTCACTTGTGTATTTATTCCATTGAATATCTGTCTCCTTGTTGGGAGACTCTAATCTTAAACTCTTGGATGGGGTACTACTCTCCTCATCATTTTGCCTCTTAACAAACACGTTGAATAATTCAATGGATTCATGTTTGTTAGGCTCTGGATTCCCATGGCTTGAATGTCTAAGTATGGAATCAAAGGGGTTCTAGAAGCACACCGCTGCACCGGCCTTCACCCTGCTTGGGGTTACCCAGCCTTCCTTCTCAGACTCCTTCAAGCCAGAAGCAGGGGCCATATCCTGGGAGGATAAATCACCACCATCCTTTCATAGTGTTCCTGACCCCTCCCATCTATTCATCCCTCTGTCGGAGGGCTCGGTGGCTTTCTTCTAGGGAAAAAGAACCTGAAGGGGACGAGGAAGCAGGGATTTACGATAAGCACATCCCTGCCTAACTTGTCGCGGTGGGCAGTGGGTGATGGGCTTACTTTATGGATGGCTGTGCCAAGATGGTCTTGCATGTAGAGTCTTGCTGGCTGCTGCTCATTAGTCATGGGATGTCCCCTTAACTCCCTCCAACAGCTGCTTTGCAAATCTGTGCTGTTTGCCTCAGGAACTGCACAAACGGGGAGCCGATTAAATTTATCTTCATCCTTTCCTACTCTCTGGCCTGGAAAAAATAAAATTATGTCCTGCCCCCCAGCAGATACCTAATAAATCAAATGTTAACTGCACAGGACAGTTTTTGGGGAGTAAGTAGCATCATTATTTACCTTCTTCAGAGATGATGGATTATACATCATGTTGCGTGTTTATTTAAATCAATTGACTGCCGCATCGTGGAGAATGGGTATTTTCCATGCCCTTCTCTGCACTCTCCCGTAGATTCCAAGAAGGCTGTTCGCTTGGCAGATTTTGATCAGAGCCTCAAGTGGACTGGAGACCCACAGGAAATCAGGAGAGACCTAGAGGTAATTTCTACAATCTGGCGTTTTCTTTTTCTTCTGCTTCCTTGCTTGTTCATTACCTTAGTGCAAATGGCCGATGAGGGGGGGTTTCCTTTTTCACCGGGAAGGAAAGAACTTTCACGGCTCCTCCGACCCCCACCACTCTGTGTCACTCACTGTCCGCCTCTGTGGACACTGGCCCCTTCTTGGCTTCCTCTCATGTCAGAGCTCTTGCAGTGCAGAGGAGAGGTGTCATGGCGGAGCCCGTGAGGCACTGCCTGTCACCTGGTCCCTTTCAGGTCTCTTATTATCGCTTTCTCCCTCCACTAGCTAAGTAAGTAACTAAATTGAACATGCCATTCCTCTTTTCTTAGTAATTCCAGGAGGTATTTCCAGATATCACCAAAATTCCTTCAGGAGATATTTTCTGCCTAAGGATAATGTGGATGAGACTTCTTTTCCCGACTCTGTTCAAACACATGCCCTCAGCTCCGACGAAAGTCAGCTACTGAGGCCCCATGAGAACTCCAGGGAGGGGTGGGGTTGATCCTCAACTGGGAAAGAGACAAAACTTGGCCCCCAATTTAATTCCCTGACATAGCTGTTTCTCCTGAAAGGACACAGAGCCTGGCCCTGCAGACCAAAGCCCCTGGCGGATCTGGCTTCTATGAGGGCATTTCTCTCCAGGAGAGTGACCGCTGGGCAGGAGCTCATCACCCGTGTCTGGCCTCTTGGTTTGGCAGCTGCAGATGTCAGCTCCTCCCCTGGCTGATGGCTAGTGCAGAGGGTCCTGTGCTGGCCTCCTTCTCTGCCTCTCCTCCCTGCCGTGGTCTAACTGCTGGGTTACTCTGTGCTGTTTCCCACCTGGACAGTCTCTATCATCTGCTGCCCCATGTAACCCTGGACCTGAAATCCCAGTTCTCAGCCAGTCCCCTGGTATTCACCTTGTTTAGAAACATTCTCCCTTCTCTGATTTCTCTATGTTCCATCAGTGCATTTGATATCCACCTCCAATCTCTCTTCCTGCATGTCACCCCCCACACACACACAAAAAACAACCCCTGTACCCTGGGATTCCCTTTTAAACTGTGTGGACCATACAGTACTTTGAAGAATTCTATACATGAATCTGTGTCTTCTCTCCCTGCAGGCTCCTAGAGATTTCTTCTAGCACACATTATCCAAAGTTACCCAAATGGAGAGGGAATTCATAAGCCCCTTTGGCTTGATTTCTGGTTTTATGTAGGCCCTTGGACGGCTGGTCCTCTATGTGGTAAAGAAGGGAGAGACTCCTTTTGAGGAGCTAAAGGCTCAAGGCAATGCAAAGGTGATTGAACTTTCTCCAGATGAGGAAATTAAGGACCTCATTGATCACCTGTTCTGTCCTTTGGAACCTGTGAAGGACCATCTGGGTGACCTTCTGGATCATCCTTTCTTTTGGAGTTGGGAGAAGTAAGTAAAACTCAAGTGTGGATCTCAGGCCTCAGAATGGAGAAGCAGGGGTGGAATGGAGAAGGAGGGGCGGTACGGGCAAGGGTCAGGGCTTGTTCTCTCTGCTTGGTATATACTGGTTTTGTGACCTCAGAGGGGCAGTTTAACCTCCTGGATTCTGGTTTTCTCTTCTGAAGAATGGGGGGGGGGCGGAGAAAGAGACAGCTGCCTCTCCCATCATGCAGAATTTTAAAAGTTTTACTACTTTTATTAAAATCCAAAATCTATCAGTTTTCTCTTCCTGCAAATAGTGGGAAAAATGGAATGACCATGATAATTTTGTCCTTCTCAGACGCTATAGGGCACTTCGGGATGTGGGAAATGAAAATGACATCAAGCGTAGAAAAACTAAGAGTGAGATCCTCACACGACTAACACCTGGGTCATCTGAACCTCCCAGAAGTTTTAACTGGTGGACATATAAGGTATGAACAATTTCTGTTGGTGTAGACATTATTCTGGGATGAATCCATGTGCTATTTTATGTGAGTTATTTTTTTTAATACTAACTAGGAAGTGAAAAGGTGATATTTCCTCCCTTCCTCTCCATCCAAGTCCCTCTTACTACTGGCTCTTCGAGGTCTCTGCTCCCCCAAGAGACCAGCTGTGACAGACTCCTGTTCTGGTTATTCTTAGGATGGCCTTGACCTGAAGCCTGGCCAAGGGCCTATTACCATAGTGACAAGGGTGGCTGCCTGAATAGAGCAGACACTAAACCATGGGACGCTTCCACTCAGGGAGATGGCTGCCTCCTCTGCTTGTGAACAGCTGTGAGCATCCACATAGAGACCTACGTGCTGCCCCCACAAAACACATTCGGGAGACAGGATGATCTCTAAAACTCCCCCTCTTCAAGAAAAATCTGCCTGGCTTGAACTAGGTATAGAGGAACCCCAAAGAATTCACCACCATCTCAATCTTGCCTTTGCCATCAGAACTTTCATTAGGATGAATGAACAACATCTATCAAATAGGCCAAGGCAGACCAAGGCTGGGCAGACGAAGCAGAATAGGCACAGTCCTTGTGGTGCTGGGCACTTGCAGAAAAAATGCTGTGCGACGTGGCCTGGGCGTCCCTCAGACATGTGTCAAGGACTGTGAGAGATTGGTACTCGGAGGCCTTCTACTGAAACCAGCAGCTTCCCCACCCCGGCCTCTGTTTCCCCTGTAGCTCTTTGTTTCTGTTTCTCTTTTTTGCTCTTCTGCCCTCGCTTGTCTCTGGACTACCTCCTGCACTAGAAATGGCTAGCTTAGCATCTGCCTTCTTTGCTAGTCTTTGAGTTCCACGATGTCTGCTGTCTCACTGGCATGAAGTAGGTCGACCATGACTCTTTGCTAAATGAACATCTATAAAACTCCAGCTCAACCCTGTGGAAATGGAGACATTTGAATCTAGAGCCAATGACAGGGACAGTCGAGATTATGTAGCTCTTGACTGTTACATGGCGGCCATAGTTCTCAGGACTTGGAGTCCCCACATTTAATCCTTAGAAGAGCCTCTGTGGTAATCATCTATGCTTTGCAGATAGGTAAGCTGAGGCATAGACAAATAATCTTTCAAAGGCCGAACCAGTATGAGGTGTAGCAGGATTTGAAGGTGGGAAAAATGGCTGCTGAGGATGTGTGGTCACTGCAGTCCATGTGCTATGATGCAGTCAACTCCAACTCCTGTAATCCTGGAGGAAAATGAGGTCAGGAGATGGTTCCTAAAGTACCTGAGTTGGGGCAGCCAGAGAGTGGCAAATCTAGAAAGAAACACCTATTCTTTTGTTCCCCAATGCATTGATTCTTTCTCCTAAATTTTATTGACTTATATTGAATTTTGATTGAGTTCAAGTCTTACTTTGTCATTCCCATGCATTTGTTTATTTATTGGCACATTGCAGTTATACATAATAGTGGGACTCACGGTTACATATTCCTCCATGCACATAACATGATGTGTTCAGTTTTATTCCTGAGTACTTCCTCTTTCCCTCCCCTTGTCCCTCCTTTTGGTCCCCTTCCTCTACTGGTATCCTTCCTGTTTTCATGAGATTATCCTTCCTTTTCCCCGCCTTTCCCCTCTTGCATTCATATAAGAGAAAACATGCAACACTTGACCTTCTGAGTCGGCTTATTTCACTTAACATAATGTTCTCCAGTTTCCTCTATTTTCCCACAAATGACATAAATTCATTTTTTTTATGGCTGAGTAAAACTCCATGGTGTATATATACACCACATTTTCTTTATCTATTCGTCTGTTAACAGGTACCTAGCCTGATTCCATGTCTAGTCTTTTGAGGAAATTCCACAGTGATTTCCATTGTGGTTGTGGTAATTTATAATACCAGCAAAATTGTATATAAGTGTTCTTCCCCCCACGTCCTCACCAGCATTTGTTGTTGTTTGGATTCTTGGTTTCTGCTGTACTGACTGGAGTCAGATGGAATTTCAGTGTAGTTTTGATTTGCGTTTCCCTGATTGCTAAAGATGTTGGAAAATCTTTCGTACATTTGTTGACCATTTGTATCTCTCCATTTGAAAAGTGTCTGTTTAGTTCTTTGGCCTATTTATTAATTGGGTTTTTATTAATTTTTGGTGTTAAGCTTTTTGAATACTTTATGTACTTGATCCTCATATTAGATTGTTTTTCTTGTTGATTTCATGCTCATTTGTGCGGTCACATGGTTGTTTTCGACAGCACAGGTCTAGCGCCCAAGTTTTCCTGACTATCTACTGTATGTGGTTCTCAGCCTGCCCCATGCCACCACCACCCACCTCTGCTCTCCATCTGAGCAAGCCTCTTTAAGGAGGAAATGTAATCGAGCATGAATTTGGAAGGGCAGGATAAAAATGTGCATACTTTAATGAGCAGATGTCCTAGTGTAGTAGCCAAAGATTTCTTTTTTTCATTTTTAAAAAATTTTAATTTATGATATATGACAGCAGACCAAAGATTTTTTAAACCACGTTTTAATGTATTTCATTTCTTATGAAAACAATTCACTTGAAAAATAGAGGCACAAACTTAAAGTTATCTATAAACCCCCATTCAAATAGAACTATACTTAACATTTTGGTGTACAACATTTACTTGTTAGCAATTAGTAATAGGCACCCTATATTCAATTTTAATTTTGCCAATTGGTATTAAGATGCCATCAGAATTTATTTGTGTGGCCACTGCATTTTTGCGTAACGATTCATTTTTTAGATTGACAAAGATGTTATGAAACGCATGAATAAGTTCTACGAAAAAAATGGGGATTTCTACAGGGACACTGTGGGTGATCTGTTAAAGTTCATCCGGAATATGGGAGAACACATTAACGAGGAAAAAAACAAATGGTAAGTTTTGTTTTTATTCTTGTAAATCTTATGTGAAATGAGAGCAACTCCGAGGGGAGGGTCCCACAGCACTCGATGGTGCTGCTGGAGAGCAAGCAGTTCCCGATGGAGCGGACCAGGCTCTTCCAGAAGTGTGGGTGGTTGGGCATCGAGTACACCCGCCTTGAAGCGGTGTGATGGTCAAACCGAACCCGCACCCAGGAAGGGTTCTGTGGAGGGCGTTGAGCCCTCAGACAACAAGTGTCTGTCGAGAGCAACAGACGGGAAAAAGAGGATCAGCACAGGTCGAGCTCCAAAGACGTGAAGAAGCTTCAGGTGGCTTATTCAAACCTGCTCAGAGCTCACATGGAGGGGGCCGAGGACCAGAGACAGAGCAAGAGAAAGAAGAGCAAAGCGGCTGGGCGAAGGGCACTGAATTCTCTGCTTTTACCAAACCACTGAATTACTTACTTTTCCTTTTGCTTATAGTTTCCATAAATCTATGTTTCTGTTTCCATGTGATATTAGGGTCATTTTGGAGAGAAGAAAGGTTGCAGTGTTTACAAGGTTGTTGTGGTGAGAAACTAGTTTATTTCAGATCTGTGATGCATGGTTATATATTCCTAAATTATAGTTTAAAAAAGAGCAATGTATCATGAAACACCTGATTCTCAAAAAAAAAAAAATCCAATTCTAAATTTATATGTGTATGGAAAGAAGGAAGTTTATTTTGATAAAAGAAATGCAATTCCTCTGCTGTATTTGGAAAAGGGAGATCACTGTGGTCTTTTATCTTCCTTTTAGTTTTTGTTGCACCCCACTGAACAGAAACTTGTGACTTCTTGTGTCACTAACACAGGAGATGGGACAGCTGGACAAAGTGAATGAAGAGTTATGAAGGTCTTGTTTTAAATTGGCTTTTTTTTTTTTTTTGCCAAAAACATTAGCTGCAAACTCATACGCATACACAAAACCTTGCAGGTCAGGGCTCTTTCAGATTTGGGGATTGTACATAAGGGATTGTGGAATTGTATCCTTTCCATTTGATGAATGAAAAAAATGAGGTTCAGAAAGATCAAGCAGCCAAAGGTTGCACAGTCACTAAGGAGATGAGCCTGGCTCTGTCACTTTTCCAAGTCCTTCTCTATTAGGCTGTAGAAATAAAAGAGCAGAGCATGTCCTGGGTCCTATGTTGTGAAGTGCTGGAGAAGATCTGGGAGCAAGCATGTCAAACCACTTGTGTTTCATTTCAGGATGAAGAAGAAAATTGGAGATCCTTCCTGTTATTTTCAGAAGACATTTCCAGATCTGGTCATCTACGTCTATAGGAAGTTACAGAACACGGAATACAGAAAGCATTTCCCCCAAACCCACAACCCAACCAAGCCTCCGTATAACAGAGGTGGCCAGGGAGGGAGGCTGGCCAGCCCTGAGTATTGAGTCTTTCAAGTTCAAGGAGCCACTTACTAGCTATGTAATTGGCAATCACAACTCTCGGAGCCTCTTAGCTACACCGTTGCTTGTGAGGGATGAGTTGGACAGCAGTGTGTCAATTTCCAGCACACGCATTCCACACTTTGGTAACAAAGGCAGTGTATGTTCAGACTTCCCTGGTCCCTGATAGTGGGCAAGGCTTATTGGCAGGGACTGGGAGAGCATCCTGCTAAGTTTTCTCTTGTCATTTGCAACAAAGGAGGGAATGCCAAGACCTCTCAGGCCACGTGTTTTACAATGATTATCTCATTTAATTCTCTCAATGACCTACATGATAACAACCAGAACTTATTATCCCCATGGAAGAACCTGAGGCTCAGAGAGTTTGAGCTACTTGCCTGAGATCATATAATCTGCACAGAGCAAGGTATAAACGGAAGTTACTGTGATTGTTCTGTCTTACTTAGGTACTTTAAAAACTTAATTAGCGGCCCAGGGCTTTTTTGGATGAGACCTAAAAGGAATATGCCAAAAGAGTTCCAGGAAGCTCATTCATGCATTCATATTTGTAAGTCTACACACTAGTTGTATGAATTCCATTCCTATAAGCACTTGCACTGATTTTTCATGACCTTAAGAGAGTAGGTCTCAACTAGGGGCAATTTTGCTCCTCAAGGGGCATTTGTCTGTGTCTGAAGAAGTCTTTGGTGTCACAGCTCTGGGAAAGAACGACAATATTGGTGTTTGTAGGTAGAGGCCAGGGGTTCTGCCAAATACTCTTTGGTGCACAAGACAACCCCCAACACACAACACCCAGATCAGAACATCAGCGGTGCCGAGACAGATAAATCCTGTCTTAAGGGACTGAGATGCTTTTGAACTGGCTGGAGGCCCAGGACTGTGGAGCGTGTGGACGACCCCAGAGAGGAGTGACCCGGATTTATTTTCTTGCTGCCGCATCTGTAATGGAGCACTTCCTTTTGCCATCGGCCACTCAAGAAGTTCCCCATCCACCCTCACTTCCCTGCTCCACTCCGGGTGCTCAATACATTCTCTCCACCCTGTAGTTTGATTTCCCCACTGGGATTGAAGCCCCTTAAAGCTAATGATTATCTGTTTTGGAATTTGTATCTTCACTGCTTAGCCAAATGTTTGTCCCGCCATAATGCTCAATGAGTAGCCACTGAATAATTATTATTTATTATTATTCATGTACAAAGAAGAGGACATCTTTGCACATGAAAAATAATACTACTTTACATTTTATGGTGCCTTATAATTTATTCATATCTATATATTATCTCATTTCATTTCCAAAATAATTTTTTCAGGTTGTCATTGAAATCCTTATTTTGCTGATGAGGACATTAAGGTTAGAAATAACTTCGATGTACTCTAGGACATAACCAGGGAGTTGTCGCTGTTTTTGAATAGGTTTTCTGACACTCATTCTGGAGTTTTTTGCACTTATCATCATGGTGGCTAAGTTAAGATGGAACCTTGGAATGGGAATGTAATATGCAAAGAGGGTGGTGTCCGGTGCTGGATAAATGGTTGTACGGAATAGAGTTAAGACATACTGGAAGAAATAAACTGAAGGGCTTTTTTAAAATGAGGGATCTATGAACAGCAAGATTGCTCTAGGTTTCAAAGTTAAGTATTGGTTGTCTGATACATAGTGAGTACTTGGATATGTCAGTCAAAATGCCCATGTGTGAACAGTGCTCAATACAATTTTGATTTGTCTTATTAAATTTGATTTTCTTTGAGTGACATTTCTACTTTAGAGACTACTAAATAAGCAATTCCAGAATGTTTTAAGGAAGGACATGTTGCTCTTTAAAGGAGCAACATGTGAAAAGGAGCCAATTTTCAGGCCTCCAGTAATTCTGGAACAACGTGGGCCCTGGGTATTTTCATGGGGAGAGAAGGAAGGAATTAGTAATTTTATCCTCTGCTTCTACTCTCTAAGATTTTTCTATCAACACTCTGCAAATATTTCCCATTCAGTTGTCATTACCACAGTCCCTCCCTCCCGCCTCCCCCCTCCCCCTTTTTTTGAGCATGTAGCTCATGTTAGGCCGGGTGATTGATTCTGTGCCTGAGCTTGCCAAGTGGAGGTATCAGTGACACAAGCAACATGGGTGAGATGATGATGGCAAAAGTATTAGATCTGCCACTTGCTGAGCACCTTCTCTTTTCTAGTATGAAACTCTTTTAGATGTGATGTCCAGTGGTGTCCCTGATTGTGCTCTGAGATTATTTTTGTTCTATAGAAGACACAACGAATGCTCAGAAAAGCTCTTTAAGATGCCAGAGTAGTAAGTAGAGAGGCAGGATGCTAACCCAGGTCCGTGAGTCCAGGGTGTGGTCTTTCTGGATGCCAAAGAGTGAGATGGGGCAGGTGGGAGCAGTCACGGTTCAGAAGTACGAGGGCTTTCTTGCTTTCCTCTGCATTGAGGTCCGAGAGGTCACATTACCAATGACGTTCACAGTGCCAAACCACTGGGTCACACCCCTGCCTTCATGAACCTCCCAGCTGCGGCTGAGTCATCAACTATTCCATTTCCCCGGGAACTTCCACAGCAGCCTTAACCCTGCACTCTCTTGTCTTTCCTTCCCCTTGGCTGGTCTGCACAGCACCCTCTGCCAGCTCCTTCTCTGTGCAACTGCTAGATATTGAGTGCTCCTTACCGAATCCTCGAGAACTTCACTTTTTGACCTTTGTCCCGGGATGATATGTTTGAGTGCCATAGCTAACATCATCATAAACAGGCAGGGGATTTCCAGGTTTTGAAATTTCACCTCCCCCTCTTGATGTGACCACCAGTCACCCCTATATGTTCTGTGTCATTTGACTGACACTGAAAATCAGATCAGGTCCCTTCCCTGCTTAAAATTGTGGTTAGAAGAAAAATGTTCACCCGCCAATTGGTAAACGTACTGGCAAAGTCTACAGCTCTGTGCGCCTCACCTATCAGCTGCTTATCTTGAAGGCTTCACCGAATCTGAGGTGATCTTATCTCTGCTTCCTCTGAGGGCTGGGAGCATGGCCTCCTCAGGGGCATTGGTTTGGGGGTTCCCTCTGCTGTAACTTTAGACTGCCAGGCTCTGCCTGCTAGCTTCTATTTTCTGGGCCTCGACTACAATGTGACTTCCTTAGATAAGACTTCCTTATTCAAAGTTGCTCCCAGCCCTTATTTTTTTGATATTATAGCTCTAATCACTATCTAAAAATATTAAATTTACATGTTCATGTGTTCTCTCCCTCACCAGGGTAAGAACATGAGTTCCATATGGCAGTGATATTGTCTTATCCATTATCATATCCAACCCCCATTATCTGGTGCAACTTCCAGAACAAAAGAGGTTCTGATAAACATTTAGAGTGGGAAGATAAAGGTTTCTACAATTACAATCATTGTGTGATAACTACCTAGTTAGAAACGTGTGTTTAAGATGTACATTGAAGGTCATGTCATGGTTCATCTCTACACTAACTCCATTACCTCTGCTAGGCCAGGTGAATATAAACATAGTAATCAGTTGGGCCTCATCAAGAAGGAAATAATCAAGCAAAAATTACAGGAAGCAAGAGAGTAAGAAAGCTTCAGGAATATTTGAGGGAATAAGCAGAGAGAACAATAAGTTAAAGGCCTTGGAGTGTGTTCACACCTGACCTGTTGGAGGACTATAAAAGTGTGTATGTCATATATAGAGGGAGCCAGGGAGTAGAGCTCAGAGCCAGGAGAGAGGGGCTTTCCTTTGTCTTGGCCAAGACAAAGGAAAGGGTTAGAGTCTTTGAGTTTTAGCCGAGGAGTCCCGGGTCACCCAAGTAGAAATTTCATCCCAACCTCCTTTGCAGCTAGGTAGGGTCTGGCCAGAAGAATGTAAGCAGGAGGGACAGAAGTAATTACTTGCCTTTCTCTGCCTGTTCCTTCTTTTTCTTTTCTCCCTGCCTTTACTGTCTACATACTCATTTCTCAGCACAAAGCTTTTAACATCATCATTAGCTGATCAACAGATTTATCCCCAGCCAGCCTCTCCCTGGTTTCCTGATGCACATGCTAACCTCACATGATATCTCCATCTAAAGGTCTAATGGAAGATCACATCTAGCACGTCCAAAATGAAGCTCCCAGTCTTCCCCCTAAACCTCCGAGAACACTTCTGTCTTTGTTAGTGGCAGCCTTGTTCCTTCAGTTGCCCAGGTCAGAATGTTTGCCACTGTCCTGGGTCCCCCCATCCCTTTGTCTCCCACCAGCCCTCCCTCTGTCAGCAAATCTTGTGGGCTCACCCATCAAAACACATCCACTGTCTGACCTGCAATCCACTTCGCTGCTCTCACCCAACAGAAGCTACCAAATCAGTTGCATGAACTGTTTGGTGATGATCTAATTCATGCCCTTGTTTTTACTCTCCCCCTCTGCAGTCTACTCACAGAGAAGACAGAGGGAGTCTCTTAAAATTTAAATCACACCATGCCAGCCCTTGCCCACATAAACATTTCACTAAAGAAGACGTACAAACAGTCGACAGGCATGAATGAAGATGCTCAACATGATTATCCTTTAAGGAAATGCAAACTAAAACTACAATCAAGTTTCACATCATATTCATAGAACGGACATTACAAAGAAGACAGAAAATGACAAGTTGTGGTGAGGTTGTAAAAACATCATAACTCTTACACATTGCTGGTGGTAAGGTTAAATTGTGTAGTTGCTCTGGAATTCTAGATATGGTGTAATTCAGCAATTCTACTCTTAGATATATATACAAGGAAGATGAAAACATGACTCTGTACAAAACTTGTAGATGAGTGTTCACACCATCATTATTCATGATAGTCAAGAAAGTGGGAAGAGTTCAAATGTCCATGAACTGATGAATCCTAGATGGAGTGGTATATCCACACCTGTGAGATACTCTTCAACAATAAAAAAGAATGAAATACTGTTACTGAAACATTGTTAAGTAAAGCATTCTGTAAATGAGAGAAGCCTGTCACAAAAGGTCATATATTGTGTGGTTATGTGAAATGTCTAGCATGGGCAAACCTATAGGCCTAAAGTAGTTCAGTGGTTGCATAGAGCTGGGGAGAATAGTGGGAAGAAATAGGGAGCGAATGCCAGTAGATGTTTTTTTTTTTTTTTTTTTTTTTTTAAGGAGTAGGCAACAAAAAAGTTCTATGTTATATTGTGTTTGTGATATATAACCCTGTGCATATACTATTAAAACACTGGCGATACATTCTAAATGGGTGAATTGTATAGTAGGTTAAATATACTTCAGTAAGTTTGTTAAAAATCTTTAAAAATATAAAAATGTGACATTGCTTACATACTTTAGGGAGTATCTGCTACATCCTGTGTGCCCCCCACCCCCTCTTCCTTCCTTCCTTTCTTTCACTTTTTAAAATAAAGATTGTGGAAAGGTAGGTGAAGTCATAGAAAAAAAATATTTAAATTTACCAGAGATCTTACAATATTCTCCAAGTAAAATGCCACAGAGATTGTGCTAAGTGGAGAGACTATATAGGCGTGAGAAAAAGGCACAGGCATATTCATTGGGAGAAATAAATCACTATGCTAATTTTTAAGAAGTTGGTAAGGTACATTTGTACATTTTTGATCATACTCCTGGAGGGAACTATGGAGTTATGTAATGACTAGGAGGATGGAGGCAAACCGTCACTGTTCTCAAAACCATAGAAATGTCGAGTGCGTATCAGGAAGGCAACTTTTTACTTTAGTAGCAAAATCTGAAGCTGTCTATTTCCCTCATTCCTGACGTAAGCACACAGAGCATGGCGAAGGGCAGAGCCGGGAGCACACACCGCCATGTGGACATTTCTTTTATAGGGACCCAAAGAACTGGAGCCAACCAGACAAGGCCGACTAGAGTGACCAGAGGCAAATAAATTTGTGTTTGTCCTCTTCCTTCTTCAGCAATAAAATGTATATTACACCCATCAGTGGTTCTCCACCCTGGCTGCACACTAGAAAACCCTTGGGTCCCACCCCAGGCCAGGCCAATGAAATCAGAACCTGTGTGGGCCCCAGCGGCATCATTTAAAAAAACCTTCCAAGGACTTCTGATTTCTGATCTAGCATATAAGGATCTTAGAGTGATCACTGCCTCATAATAACAAATAAAGAGTTGAACAAATTGAAAAATCAACAACTCTTCTTAGGAGTGAGGTTATAGGAAAATGTCTGCCCCCAAACTAGAGAGAGAGACAGGCAGATACAGAGAACCACAAGTTTCAGAAGAAACCCACCTCCATGGGAACAAGTTCTGGGTAGGAAAAACTAAACTGCAGTTGACAAATTGGTAGAGGATCAATGTGGGCCATTCTGAAAGAGAGTGATTTCAAGGGGACCCAGTTGTGGGGGAGCCCCCCAATGCTCCTCCAGGAGCTCTATGGTTCTTACAGTTAAAATCAGAGGAAAGAAGAACATCAGGCTCCTAACATGAGATGGAGACAAGTAACCATTTTGAAATACGCCAAGTGAAGATAAAAAGATAAAAGACCAAGTGAAGATAAAAAAATTATTTTATCTTATTTTTAATGGCTCTAACAGAAAATATTGTGTTCCAAATGTTAGCAACAATGTATTTGATGCATGTAGGTTAAGTCTAAGTGAAATGAATGACACCAGTTATATACAAAATGTGAGGGAAATGCTGGGAATATTTTATCACTGCAAGGTATACTAACACTACCCAGGAAGTGGTGTAGTCTTGATCGAAGTATCTTGAGTTAATTGTAAATGTATATTGCAAATGCTAAGTTACTGAAAGAGTAAAAAGAGAAGTAGAATTGCTATGCTAAGAAAGGTGAGAAAATAAAACAATACAAAATGCTCCATTAAAACCCACAAAGGCAAAAAAAGAGTGGAAGACAAAAATGGGACCAAAAAACAAGAAAATGAAGAAAAATCAGCAAGACACATGATAGATATTAATCCAAATATACCAATAATTATTTATATATTAATGCTTTCAAGACACCAATTGAGAGATTGTTAGTGTAGATTAAAAAAAAAAACAAGACCCCACTATATTTTGTCTACAAGAAACCTATTTCAAATACAAAGACATATGTAGATTAAAAGTAAGATGATGGAGGTAGACTCTCCTAATGCTAATCAAAAGAAAGTATAGAAGTCTTATTAATTTCAGATAGAGTAGATTTCAGGGAAAATTGATCAGAAATAAAGAGGGGCACTACTTTGTGATACTGAGGTCAGTTCTCCAGGAAGACATAAGTGTTCCTAATGTGTGTGTACCCAGCAGAGTGTTAAAATATGAGGCAAAGCCAAAACTACCTGCAGGGAGATGGAGATGCATTCACTATTGAAGTGGAGGCTTCAACACCCTTCTATCAGAAATAGATCAAGCAGGCAGAAAATCAGTAGGAACATAGTTGAAATTGACACCACCATGAATCAACTGAATACTCTGACAGCGGTAGGCCACTGCATGTAACAGTAGCAGAATACACATTCTTTCCAATCACCAAGGTAGATTACATTCTGGGCACATTTTATCAACATTTGAAGAATAAAAAAAATCATATATAGGTATGCTTTCAGAAATTACACTAGAAATAAAAAAGAAAGAGAGCAGGAAAAGCCCCAATGCTTCAAGATTAAGAAACACATTATCTCAAGTTAGTCCTCAAATAACCCTAGGAGGTACCTGTTGTCAGCTCCATTTCACACACAGGGGTGATGGGTCTTGATGAGGGTTTAGTAATTCTGAGATCCCAGAGATTTAATTTAAACCCAGCTTGCCTTGAGGAAAACTTTGAGCTCCTCCTGGCCTCAATGGGGGTCAGGGGACAGTCCAGGTGTCAAAGCCACTGGAGGAGACTGGCCAACCCGTGTTCTTGGTCCAGGATGGGAAGTGTAAAGTTCACTAATATGAAGTCAAACAACAACAAGTGCTGGCGAGGATGTGGGGAAAGGGTACACTTGTACACTGCTGGTGGGACTGCAAAATGGTGAGGCCAATTTGGAAAGCAGTATGGAGATTCCTGGGAAAGCTGGGAATGGATCCACCATTTGACCCAGCTATCGCCCTTCTCGGACTATTCCCTGAGGACCTTAAAAGAGCGCACTATAGGGATACGGCCACATCAATGATTATAGCAGCACAATTCACAATAGCTAGTCTGTGGAACCAACCTAGATGCCCTTCAATAGATGAATGGATAAAAAAATGTGGCATCTATATACAACAGAGAATTATGCAGCACTAAGAAACGACAAAATCATAGAATTTGCAGGGAAATGGATGGCATTAGAGCAGATTATGCTAAGTGAAGCTAGCCAAGCCCTAAAAAACAAATGCCAAATGTCTTCTTTGATATAAAGAGAGCAACTAAGAACAGAACAGGAAGGAAGAGCATGAGGAAAAGACTAACAGTAAACAAAGACGAATGGGGGGAGAGAAAGGGAGAGAGAAGGGAAAGGATATGCAAATGGTAGGAGACCTTCAATGATACACAAAAGTATAAGAGGTTATGATGGGCAAGGGGGAGGGGGAAAAAGGGAGAGAATTGAACAACAGCAGAGGAGGCAGAGAGGGAAGGTGGGAGGGGAGGGGAGGGGGGATAGAAGGGGATAGGAAAGGTAGCAGATTACAACAGTCACTAATATGCCATTATGTAAAAATGTAAGTATGTAACAGATGTGATTCTGCAATCTGTATTTGGGGTAGAAATGGGAGTTCAAAACCCAATGGAGTCAAATGTATGAAAGATGATTTATCAAGAGCTCTGTAATGTTTTGAACAATCAATAAAAAAAAGAAAGTAAAAATTAAAAAAAAAAATTAATCTCTTAATTGGAAATGATCCTGGGAGCCCCCTGGGAAGCGACGTATTGTCTTCCCTGACACCTTTTTTGTAAAGAAGAGGATGGCAGGCCCACAGCGCTGAGTGTGGATGTGCTTTATTTTGGCTAGTGACCCCCAGTCCTGCTGGAGGTGTAGGGCTGAGGACTGGCACTCTGAAGCACTATAGACATGGGCCACCCCCTCCTCAGGGATGACACTTGGGACAGTTGGAGACACTCAAAATGAGGGGCAGATGTTTTGTCTACAGCTGTAGAAAAGGGGGAGATTTCATGTCACTCTGACACAAGTATCTGAAAAGGCTCCTGTGAAGGTGGAGGCAGATCTCTCCATTTCTCTTGTTCTTTCTTCTTTCCTCTCCCTCTTTCTGTCACTCTTTAGTGTGAATGGGTTGTTTGTGCTTCCTAAAAAATAAAACAGTTCTTAAGGCATCGAGAATTATTGGAACATTAAAAAGTTTCATCAAGTAAATAGCATCTGATGTTTCTTCTTTCTGGTGCTATCACAATTGTAATTGACTATTGATTTGATTTTCTGGTAATAGCTCTGTCTAAGGTCACCAAAGGCATAAACTTCATATTCTGTTTCCTCTTCTACATTCCCAGCAACTAGTGCAATTCATTTACTTATGCATGCAATATATTTTGAGGGGGAAACTATTACATGCATGTTAAGTACTGTGTTAAGTACTGGAGGTACAAAGAAAAATAGGTCAGTCTCTGCCCTCAAAAGTATATGATCCAAGTCTATAAGGGTGTAAAGATCTAGATCACTATATATCCCCCGTTAATAAAAAACTGGGTTATTAGCATAAATCACACTTTCTACTCTTTGTTCCCTCCAAATTAAACCAATATTTTATTATTTTCTCCTTTATCATATGTTTCTTATGTAGATAGTCTCAGGCTGAAGAATTAACGCTCAAGATCTGCATCATGTGATTTAGAAAAAAAATCTTATTCTCACTATTCAAGTGATCCTTTATTTGCTTAATTCTACAATGTGGTTTTTCCACTGGAATTAATTTTCATATTGCTGAATACTGACTGATGGCTAATGGCACCAGGATAATAGAAGGACATTTTAGATACTCTTATTGCTGGAAGGTGGAATGAATGAATGTGTGTGTGTGTGTGTGTGTGTGTGTGTGTGAGAGAGAGAGAGAGAGAGAGAGAGAGAGAGAGAGAGAGAGAGAGAGAGAGGTGGGTGGGGGGGAGAGACACAGGAAGATATAAACCTGGAAGCTTGTATTAGAGTCACATTATCTATGGCCTGGTGTTCTCTGATAAGGAATGGAAGCTCTATTCATTCGGGCAAAGAAGGAGGATACATAGTCTTCCACATGGAACAGATCAGAGTTGGTCTTGATATGCGGGGTGAAGTAGAGTATGTCCGATGTGTAGAGAGAGGAGTGAGGAGGCTAAGATTAGGAGGTGACTTCCCAGTGCTGCTGACACAGGATGGGGGCTGACCTAGGCTATGCCAGTAGGCAGAGGGGAGGATTGGATGGAGAGATGCTTCCAAGACCAAGTCCCAAGGACTTCCTGCTCCCCCAGCTGAAGTGCAGGAGGCAAGGCTGAGGGACGGCTGAAGGAGATGCTTATGTTTTCTGTCTGGGGTTGAGAAAGGGAGTGAAGGAGCCAAGGCTAGTCTGGGATATATTAAATTTGCAGTGTCCCATTATGTAATTGGAAATTTGGATTCTAAGCTTAGAGGAGAAACTGGGAGCAGGGGTTTCGATGCAGTGCATTGCAAGAAGATAGGCTCGAGAGCAGAGCTGTGGGAGGCTGATATTCATGGAAGAAGCAGGGGGAGGAGTCAGGGCGACTGAGAAAGGATAATCAGAAAGACTTGGCAAGAAGGCAATGGTGCGCCCAAGGTCTAGGACGCAGGGACGGCCTTGGAGGCCTGGTTCTGAGTTTCCACACTCTTTTCCAGGGAGGTTACTCTCAGGACTGTAGGAGGCAGTCTTTGTTGTGGCCACACCTGATCCCTGGAACCTGTGAAGACGCTATCGTACATGGAGAAAGGAATTTGGGACATGAAATCAAGGTTAGAGAACCTAAAACCAGAGATTATCCTGGATTATCCAGGGGGGCTCTGACAAGGGGATTTGGGAGGCAGAGGAGGGGACTGGAGAGGCATGATGGTGGGATCAGGTAGAGAAACTCAAAGCATGAGAGGAGCTTGTTTCACCATCACCAACCCTAACGATGGGGGAGGAAGGAGGCCGTGAGCTAAGAAATGCAGGTGGCTTCTGAGAGGCTGAGAATGGCTTCAGCTGCTGCCAGCAGGAGATCTCATGGCTGCTACTGCAAGGACTGGGTCTTGCCAGCAACCTGAATCAGCAAGGGAGAGGTTCCACCCTGGGACCTCCAGGAAGGAACACAGCCCTACTGACACCTTGACGCTAGCCCAGGGCGTCCCAGGTTAGGCTTCTCTTTCATTTTTCCTTAGTAGAAGGTAGGCTGGTTGGCTGGCCAGAGCTGGTCGTCATGGTTCCCTTAGAGACGTGTTCTCACGTTTACCACAGTCTCGACCACTCCCTGTTGCCTCTCATGGGCTGCTTTACTAATTTACGTCACCAGCCTGCACTCTCTAGGGGATTGCCTTTGTGACAGCGGCTGAAACTGGCATTAGGACATGCTAGAACGGGAATCTCTCAAGTGAGGGCATGAGAAACCTGAAGGAGCAATCCACACGGCTCGATGAAGAGCAGATTCTTCTCCTTTCTGGGTTGGTCCTCGCAAGTGTCACGAGCCCTTTTAAATAACATGCTCGTGTGTTCTTCCATACCTGCATCGGAGTATGCCCAGGGTGAAGTGGAGAGGGAGGGAATTAAGAAATGGAAAGAATCAGTTTCATGTGGGTCAGCTAAACTCTTTTTTTCTTTCTGAAGTTGAATCTGCCTCCTGTCAACATTGGGTTCAGCCATGCCTGAGCCCCATACCTGAGGGCCTTTAGGCATGTGACCCTGGGTCAGCATTTTACTAGATCAGTCACCTTGTGGCACTAGCCTTACATTCTCTCTGGTCCAATGAGCAGGGCTCTTGACTTGTTCCTTATTTTTCAGTGGGGGTGGGGTGGAGCTGGGGTCCTGGGGGATTCAACTCAGGGGGTGCTTTACCTACCAAGCCCTATCCCTAGCATTTAAAATTATTTTTTTGAGACATGGTCTCTTTAAGTTGCTGAGGTCTCACTAAATTGCAGATGCCAGCTTATAGGTTGGCTTTGAACCTGCAACCCTCCTGCCTCAGCTTCCGGAACCTCTGGGATTACAGGTGTGTACCACTGTGCCTAGTTGACTTATTCCTTTTTGATTGAGCTCTTTCCTGGTACCTCAGTTCCATAACTAGACTCTTCTCCTTTTCTTTCCTAGTTCCTTCTCTAAGTTTTGGCCTGATTTTTAGGTATTCTGTTTCATAACCACTCTTCCTTTGATTAATTGAAGTCCTGCTTTGGAGATCTAACCTCATCACAGAGGAGGGTGAAGAATCTCATTTGCTGCTTCTGGAACTTCCTTCTGGATGCTTGCCTGGCTGGGCCTTCTTCCTGGGCCTGCGAGGCACCCCACAACTTGCTCGCCTACCTCACACCTCCTCGGTAGTCATGTCTGCCCACAGTTTTTCTGAACCTCCTGAAATCACAGCCCCACTGGATGATCTCAGTCCTTTTGGGACATCACAATATTTTCCATCCTTTGGAAAAGTCTAGGAAATAAAGGTCATACGCATAGCAGGGCACTGTGGCTGGAAAATTGAAAGGATTCTCCAAAAAGCTTTCTAGTTCTGCTGAATTCTGCAACCCATAGAGACGTCAAGCCAACCTCTCTTCAGTCATACCCAGTTCAGAGACTGTTCGGGGAACCCTGTCATTTTACATGTCACTCTTTTTAAAGGACAGAAAATGAGCCTAGTTACTCTAAAATTAAGACTAGTGTTCGAGTCTTTAGGTCAATAACTTTATGAAGAATCTGTTAGTCAGCAAATGAATGGAATTCCAGGGCAGAGCTATTCCTTTTGTGCATGAGAATTTGCATGGATGGCTACCACAGACCAAGAACAGGACAGGGTGTGCAGACTGCCATTTATCACCTAGTGATCTTGGAAAGTCACTCGCCTTCTCCATGCATGTTTGTTCTTCATCTCTGAAAATAAATGATTTCTGACATGGCTGCTCAGAGAGTTGTTGGGATGATTTTTCTGAGACAATAGATGCCTCATTGTGAAAATGGGAGATTCTAGCATTAAAAGACCCTGCTGTATTACCTCTGAGAATAACAGTACCTTGCCTCCCACAGTGTTCAATGACACTTCCATCCATATGTCACGGGATTCTTCAACAACCCTGAACCAGACTTTGCACAGGGCCACGCAGCTGCAGAGTGAGCCTCGGAGCCCAGGGACCCAGCTCACTGTGGGAAGACCATCTCCAACAGGACTCCCAGGCTCAAGGAGGCCAGGAACATTCTCTTATGCTCTCTGTCCACATCTTACCCATCACGGTCTTCTCCTGCCGTGTCTGAGCTGTTGTTCTATAGTCCCTTCTTGATTTTTCTAGGGGCAGATGGCATCAGGGCATTTCATTTCTGACCAGAAAAGGTTCTGACAGCATTGGGAGGCGTCTGAGAGATGATTTGCCTCAGTGGAGCCCGACGTGATTACTTCTTCTTTTTGGGTTGGAGCAATTTTTGTCTAAAAGGAGAGGAAAAGAATAGCCTGTTATCACCAGGGCAACAAGGCAACTGGAATTGCTCTGTTTTCTAGTTCACTGTTGTCATTTTTTTTTTTTTTAAAGAAATAGCTATGGCCAGACCTAGAACTCCTTGCCTTGGGGACAGGGCTTCCCGAATGCTCTTTCTCACCTTCCCACAGATTTTAACCTCTGAAGCCATATGCATCTCTTTCCCAGTGTAAAGAGATTCAAAGTTACTCGGATGATTCCCAGGTACCACTGCTGGCCAATGACACTCAGGAAGCTCCAAGTCAAAGAGCTTGGAAGCTGGTCAGACAAGGTGGAATAGATGGCAAGAAAACAGACCTGCCATCCTCGGAGGCTGCTGTCTATAACCTTGAACTTCAAGCAACTCTTTGGCACTCTTCAGCTGGGGTTCCCATGACCCCTGGACATCTTCCCAGAGCCCTCTTCAGCACCAGTTTCACTTTGATGCTTATGCAGAAGTGAGTTGGACTGAATTTGATTTTGATCGGCTCAAATCCTTTCTGTTCTTATTGCTGATGTCCTGTCAAGAGCACATCTCTGCTTTCTTTCCTACCTTACACATCATACCCTAAAGAGCTAGACCAAGTGGAGAGCTGGTAATAAGAGATCATCACTCTTTGTCTCCAACCATAGCGTGTTCTGTTGAAAAGTGCCGCAGGGACTCCATATTCCTAAAAGTGCCTGTCCTAGTTCAAGATGAGCAAGGATCCCTCACAGAGAAATCCCTGCCTAGCTGCCCCTGCTCCAGGTGCCATCACCCCAGAAAGAGTAAGGTCAGCCTGGTTCTACATGCTGAACTGTCAGAATGTGGAGCTAGGTCTCTCCCATTGTAATCTTGGACAGAGCCCCTCAGACCTGAGGATTTCCAGCTCATGCCTACCCCAGGAAAGGACCCAGCTGCAAGGCAGATGGTACAGCTCTCGGTTGGGAAAGGTTTCCAGATGATGCTAGACAAAGACAAAGAAAAACCTGATCAGGACTCATGTCTCAGACTCTACCACTTAGGGAATTGTAGTTTGGGGAGGAGGATCCAGGAGAGCTTCCAGGAAACCCTCCAGGGAAGGTGTTGGGAAAGTTCCAGAGATGTTTGAGAGACCTGGTTTGCATGCGGTGTTATTTTTTGTCCCTGCTACATAGACCCAGGGAGGTAAAATAAGGAGGTTAAGCCAGATCAACTCTAGACTCACCAGATCTTAGGGCTGTTTGGCCTCAGGGATCATGGCAGTGTTCCACAGTGGCCTCCCCCATTCAGCTACAACAGAACATACACAATGCAGCTCATTCCGGCTGGCATTTCACGGCCATGAGAAGCAGAAAATCAGTACCCCACCTTCTTCTCCGATTAAAAGCTGATAATTGGTATAGGAAGGAAAGGTTTATTGGGAGAGGCCATATGGAAAATAAGTAGGTCTACTGCTTCAGAGTGGGGTTGACTCCTTGTCAATAAAGCTGTGGGCAAAACATATGATATGCCCCTCCAACACAGAAGGCAAGGACCCTGGGGTTTGCTACAGGGAGGACATATAGGATGGAGGCACTGCCCAAGCCAGCAGGAGGTCTCGGTGTGAAGGGGAAGTAGCTGTGGGTGGTCTCTTAAGGCTTGCCTTTCACACCAGAATGGGGCAGAAGAGTTAGCAGAGACAGAGAGAAGCTCAAGGCAGCTGCTTCAAGGGGCTAAAGAAGAATCAAGATGACACAATTATTCAAGATAATAGCTGTGTATGGAGCCCTCAAAGTAGGCCAGGAAGAATTACTTTTCACCCCATCTCTGCCACTCACAAGCTGGGTGACCTTGAGCAAGTCACTTCCTATTGTGGGGTCTCAGTCTCCTCCTAGTCAGTAAGTGGGCAGGCCAAGCTGGCCTTAACCAACCTCTAATTGAGTAGTAGTGGACTCTTGAGAAGAGTGGATTTCCAACTCACAATTTTGGATTGAACTTGCATCCCCCCGCTGTTGAGGCCCAAACCACTCCACACCTCTGAGCAGGGTGAATCTTAGGACGCCCTGGTCTCCTGGAGAAGGAGGAAAGCAGTGGTTAAAAACCCTACGACACCTAAGAAGATGAGTCTTCCTAAGCAAGCAAAAGCCCTTCTCTAACATTTCTCACATTGCAGTTGTTAATAAGTCCAGACCTTTGATCTTAAGTCTGGCAGTGGGTGGAAAGAATGCTCAAGGTCCTTCAGCCCATGTGAGGGCTCTCTGGGCCTCGACCCCGATTCCTTCATTCTGGGCATTCCAGTGCCCTCTCCTCCCTTTTAATACCAGAGAAGATTTAGGGATTTACTTCCCTGGAGCTCAGCTACAGGAAATATGCCAGAGCTGGGAATTCTTCGGCTTCCACTATAGAGCACTTCTTCTTCTTCTCTGCCCAGGTATGGATTACTTGTCCCGCCTATCTGCGTCTCTCTCCCTTTTTCCTCCTTTCTATTTCCTTCCTGGTCCTCCATCCACACTCCTGTTACCGCCTAGGGTGCTGGGTTCTTTGTCTCCATTCAGCAAAGAATTGAAGAACAGGACACAGAGATACAGGCAAGCAGCAGGTTTATTGCAAAAGTGACAGAGACAGACTTCTCCAAAGAGAAGGGGCCCCAGAGCCGGGAATCTGGTGGAGGAGTTTTGGCTTGTTCTTTTTATGGTCTCTGGAATTTCTTCCTTCCCTTATCTCCTCCCCTGTCCATGCTCTCCTCACTGTATTGATAGGTGCCCATCCATCCACACACCTGTTTCAGTTTTTCTATTGGATCCCCACTTAGAGCACAAGAAATGTCTGTCTGTTTGAGTCCCCTGCTTGTGTCTGTGAGCTCTTATTTTTTTCTTGGTACTGGGGATTGAATTCAGGGGATCTCAACCACTGAGCCACATCCCCAGCCCTATTTTATTTAGAGACAGGGTCCCACTTTAGCCCCTTGAAGGTGCTTAGCACCTTGCTTTTGCTGAGATTGGCTTTGAACTCAAAATCCTCCTGCCCTAGCCTCCTGAGTCGCTGGGATTGCAGGCCTGCCCAGCCTGTGAGCACTTTTGTCAACAGGATGTTGACCTCATTAGAAGACTCTCTCCAGGCTCCTTTGTTCTGGCCCTGTCCCTAACTTCCTCACTCACCATCTTGCCCTTGCTGCCTAAGTCCTTCTACATCTCCCTACCCCCATCCTAAATAAGCCCTCTGGTCCATAAGGACACTTTGCCCCAAGTACTGGAGAGGTTCCTGATTTTTGGCTGCTGACCTAACATTTTGCAAGGCACAAGGCTGTTGAGTTAATGGTCATCATGCAGCTTCAGCTAGGGAAGTAGGTGATGTACTTCCTAGGGGTGAGATTGAAGGATAATGAAATTGATAAACCCCCAACACAGAGTGTGACCTGGGAGGAGGGAGGGAGAGAGAAGCCAAAGCTTTGATCTTTTCCATAAATCACTTCTCGGTGATATGACAGTGAAACTACACATTGAACTTGTTCCCATGGCAATACAATGACCCCCTGGAGGTCAGATGGGCACTGGACTCTGAACCCGGAACCCTCTATCCCTGTCCTGTGAAAATACTGCTTAATTAAAAACTGTGCCCAGAAGGAAACAAGTTCCAGATATTTGCAAACTTTTGTCCATGTCCTGTCACAGTCTTCGAGAATTGAGACATCCCCCAACGTAACCTATATAGACCCATACCTCCCCCGTAATCAGTACCATTTTCCACCCAGAAAGTGAGCCCTCCGCTGCCTGACTTCACTGCTGAATAAAGGCTTTGCCGGATTCATGAGGTGGGCACCCGTCTGGGTCACTTCTGTGCTTACAGAGATTCCTATCAGAGGAGCAGGAGTCAGGCCCTGCAGTGGGCCCAGGGTCACTTCCCTAGCTATTCCCAAGGGTCTTTGCTGGCACGCTAAGAAGCCGGTGGTAGGTATGACATGAAAGCTGGCCTGGGGACAGGGCTGGGTGTCTGGGAAAATGGGTGTGAGAATAAGGCAGGTTTCAGCCAAATCAAGAGAATGTTCTGCTCCACCATAGAGCCATGAGTTGCTGTTTTTAATATTCCTGTCCTATCTGTGGTTTTGTTCTGATGCTGGTCTTGTCCTTAAATTCACAGACTCTGATTTCCAGAACTTTCTACTGAGAGTAGACTGACCTGTTCCATGCTCCTCCCTTCATTAAAATTCTCTTGCACTAAAGTACTAATCTTAGTTGTATTTCCATATTAGGAAAGGGACTGGGTTTAATGGCTTTGTGCCATGAAAATGTGTGTGTGTGTGTGTGTGTGTGTGTATACACACAATTACATATATATACAAATTATATATAATATATTTAATATAAATAAGTACACATGAATAAAAAAGGTATAGATATATACTTATTTATTTAAATAATAAATATCTTTTAAATATATACTTAAAAATATATATATTCTTAAGTTATGCTTAAGTATAAATAAGCGTATGTACTTTGAGTAAAAGTACATATGCTTATTTATATTTTAAATAAATATATTAATATTGTATTTTAAATAATGTAATATATTATAATAAATATTAAATGTTATATATCATTTTAAATAGGCATATTAATAATACATGATTATATGATATATGTAGATTAATAACTATATATTAATCCCTCACAATCACACCTCCCAAAGATAACTCAATTGACACTTCTATCTTTATTTCTAAGGTTTTTTCCTATGCTTTTATACAATTATATGTATCTGTAACAAGATACACACACACACACACACACACACACATATGTATCACATTAAAACTATGCCATTAATCCAATTTTAAATTTTTTTCTCACTTAACTCTTTAAAATAAATGCTTTTCAAGGGTTTAATGGATAGTTGGGGCAGGGAGCCTCTTAAACAGCAGTGAGGCAAGTCACTGCCTCCAGGTGCCACCAGGTGGACCTTGGCGCCAGGCCCTGAAGTCTCACGGGAGCCAGTGCTGGGGAGCAGTAATGGAGGAGGTGTCCTTTCGATAATGCTGGAAGCCACAGATAAGATGTACTTTACCCTGAGGCCTCCCATTTCTCCAAGGACCAAGTTAAGGAGCTATCTACTGTTCCAGCAAACACCCCCTGTGCCCTGTGAGTCTGACAGTTGGCCCTCGGGCCCTGGCTCTCTCTTCTCAAGTCTCAGTTGCTGCAGCTGCTTACCTCCACTTGAAGGAGGGTATTTGTATGCAGGTTTAGAAGCACATTTTCTGTCTTTCATCCCCTTTCCCATGTGTTGCAGGTAAGAGCGGGCTGCCTTCCAAGCACAGAACCTGTGGGAAGAAGGGCCTTCAGACACAGGGAGAAAACCCCCTGGGGAGGGGCTAGAATAAAGAGGCCAGGGGAAACCGAGTGGACCAGTCCTCAGAGAGCATCATGGCCTCCAGTGTTGCTCCCAGAGGCCCTTCTTCTGAGGTCTCTTTTTTGTCCAGAACTGGCTTCAGCAAGGGCCTGGTCTGGGCAGTACAATGGGACTTTCTTCTGGAGCCACTAGTGAATGGAGTTGGTGAAGAATCTGCTATGCCTGGTCCTGGAGCAGGGATAACTCTTGGGATGCTTGCTTTATTTAATCCCAGCTGATGCAGCTGAAATGTCCGCCTGGGTTTCCCTCTGCCCCTTCCTGAGGTCCTGGATCTCCTACCTTCTTCTCAGCAGGCCTTTCTCTGGAATAGTCAGAGGCTCCCCAGGCTCCTGAATCACTGTGACCTGAGAACTGTTGCTCCCTAGGGCCCCCCAGCACTCACCATGGTATCCTCCCTGGCCCCCTAGCTCCTCGTTACCCTCTGCCAGTCCTGGGGCTGGACCCCTTGTTCTGTCTTGGCTAAGACTTTATTTATTCTCTATGCTCCCCTGGCTCTGGTGGTCTTGCCTGCTGCTGTCCTCTCCACTCCCCAAGGGGCAGCTCTTCTATCACCGTTGCTTTGTCCCATCCCACCTGCTGCACAGTATTCCTCCCCTGACTTTCCAGAATGCCACAGGTGCATTACTTATGCTGGAAAGAGACCAAGAGAACTGACTTCTAATCCTGGTTTTACCATTTACCAAGTGGTCCTAGGCAAGTCCCTTAACTACTCTGTGCCTCAGTTTCTTCATCTGTAAAACAGGGGTAATTATGCTTTGCACACCCACCTCATAGTGTTGTTGAGGGATTCTTTGAGATAATACACATGATCACAATTTGCACAACATAAATCTCTTTGCAAGTGTATAGGAAATCAAGTAAAGAACCAACAGCATGCGGATTAAGGATCAAAACCCCCCTGAAGCAACTGTAATCTTTCTTAAGACAGACTGGGAAGCAGAGCACTGAGTTGGATCAGGAGAAGGATATTTTTCAGAAGTTTCTCTTAAAAGGTCCCAGGATGAGTTTTCTATTTATTCCTGGTTAGGAGAACTAAAATTAGGTGCCATCAGATAGCAATTGATATTTAAAAGGTTAACTGCTTACAAATTAAGAGTTTTGTATTTATGTAAACCTGTTTTAAATAATTTATTATCTTAGGGATTTTAAAATAAAGGTTGGTAAGCAGATTTATAATTTTATTTCACTAAAGTCACATTTTGGAAGGAAAGAAAGGAAACTGAGGAGACAGAGTCAAATCATGATCCCCGTTAGTCTTGTCTGGGGAAATACCACAGTTGTCCTCTGGTCACTGCCACATACTATGTGGAAGACATGAAGTGGGACCGTGGCAGAACACAGGGGAACTGGGAGAATGGAGGCCAGTCTGCCAGCCCACTCCTCGGGGCAGCTTAGGAACCAGTGGGCACAGGTTGCCTTTGGTCTGTGGATGTTTTGTTCCTTTTCACATTTTGGCCTTCACAGGCTCCTCACCACATTTTCCTTTTGAATTAGTTGCCACATTTGCCACTGTAACCTTGGAAGACGTGTCATAAAGTTCTGAATGTCTACTTCCTCTTGAAAATTGAAATATTTAGCAAATTATCACAGTGGCAGTAATTTGGATGCAGCAGTAAAATGCTTCTGTGTGACTCTTTCCACGAGGCTCCCAAGCACAAGCAACTGTGTTGGTCAGCCTTGACAAGTTCTCCCCAAGGAGCTATGATCCACTTCACCCTTAGGTGAGAAACCCAGGCCCAAGAAAACCTCACGCTGTCACTCCAGGCAAACCAGGGAGAGCAGAGCCGAGGAGCCCCGTGTTCTGCCTCCGTGTCTCACTCCTCCTCCGTCCTCTGATTCAGCATTCAGTGTGAGAGACAGAGTGCATCAAGTAGGATAAGAACCACCATCATATTCCCCATGAAAATGGAAATTAGGAACGAGAGGCCCCGAGGAAGACAGCAGTCTGTCCAGAAAGCTAAATGTGTTTTCCTGGCTTGGCAGTTGCTGGGTAAAGGGAGATGGTTACCTTTTCCAGAAGTACATAATGACGGGGAAGATGGACATGACAGCCCCGTGGAAGGTGGTCCGATCCAGGTGGCCCTCTGAAACTGCAGCAAGGATAGCCTCCTTCTGGGACTCAGAGATATTCACCTACCCACAGAGTGCGAGCCTGTTACCCGCAGAGCTTCCAGGAAAGGCGGGCCATCTCTCCTAGCCCCCGGGACCCTTAAGACCACCCCATTCCAGAAGGCAGAGCTTTCTGTGGGCTTGCTGCTATGGAGGACATTGAGCTGGTCCAAGACTCAGGACATGCCTGGCAATTGGCTTTCAGGGTTTTTATGGGAGAATTACTTCTTGGTGAACGCCAAAGCAGAGTGGGAGTCCTCCTTACCCTCAGCTTTGGAGGGATATCAGAATTCAGGAAGAGCCTTAGGATAATGTTAATTTTGGCCCGCAGCAGCAGTAGGTCATTCTCAGTGTATGTCCTGTTGACCTGCAGCATGTGAGCTGAACTCACCAAATCATTGAATCTGAAGAAGAGACATGATGCAAGAAATCACAAGGAGAAGATGAGAACGGTGAGTGTAGGGCACCAGACTTATTTCTGGCTTGAAAAAGGCAGGACCAGCTCTGGGCCAGGTTGTGACTTCATTCAATCATAATTCATTCATTGACAAGTATTAAATGAGCACAGATCACATGCCAGATGATATGCTAAGTGCTCTTTCAATTGCATTTATTTTTAGGAGATTTTAGAGGAGATTTTTTTTTTTTTTTTTTTTTTTTTTTTTTTTACTGCTTGGTGGGGCTGAATCACTATACTTCTTATACCAAGCCAATCTATGCTGGGAGGTTTTAAGAATGGAAAGTCAGGAGAGGAGGGAAAGGAAGGAAAGATAGGGAACTTACCTCTCAATTTCAGATAAGAAATATAAATCATTAATTGCAAAGTTGACAATGATGACCCTGTGACCATATATACGGCGCTTTAGAAGGGTCATCTCTCCATTCTCTGGGTCTGCACTCCGGATGTTGGTGGACAATGGGATTGGACGTACTGATAAACTGGGTGACCCGGGGAAATCTGGGGGAGAGAGGAAGTAATAATAATCTGGTGTGACGAAGTCACTCTTGAGTCGGAAGCTTTCAGCCTGGGCGTAACTACAATGAAGAAAGGAACATGGACCCACCCTCTGAGCCTATTGAAATAGTCATTCTCTACCTTTAGGCAAACAACCCCTTAGGCTTGAAGGGCTGCTGAAAAACCCATCTGCTCAAGATTGTGTGACCAGGCACATACAAAAAACCAAAAACTCAGTTGAGCACCAAAGGATATTTTCATGGTACTTGTCGGAGAGAGAGATAATCATAGTGTAGTTATGCTAAATCCGAAGGTTTCTGCGGAGACTGTGAAAACTGAACAAGCCGACTTGACTTTCTGCTTATCAAGGAAGCAGTTTGGAGTAAATGGGGGAAAACAACACAAAGGAAAAGACAAAACATAAAGGTTTACTAAAGAAACCGAGGGTAGAGAGCTACAGTAGTAAAGAGGTAAGAATAAATAAAGGGGTGCATAGAAGCTTCTAGAAAATTTGGCTTCTTTCAGAAAGTTTCTAGACTAGAATAAATCCAAAGAGATCCATGCACAGGGATTCATGTCTGAGAAGAGAACAGTATGAGGCTGGATCTGACAAGCAGATCCTGGTTAGTTACCCGGCTGGGATTAAGAAAATTGTCTATTCCATCTCTGGAGTTCACACTTCTTTCTGTAAATAATTTATTCTGAGGTCCTTCAGGAGTGACTGATGGGGGCGTGATACAAGCAGGATTCCTTTTGGAATATGTAGGACAGGAGGGTGACTGCAACACCCAGCACTTGTTCTGTCCCAGGTAATGTGCTGGGTCCAGGGGTTACTGCGGCACTGGCTGAGACACCTGTTCCCTGATTTACTATTTTATAATCTCTCTTTATTAGACTTGACTTTAAAGAAAAAGAAAGTCTGGATAACAGTGGGAACTGAGTGAGGGTCAGGGGTAGGAGGAAAAGAAGGCACTAATTCCACCCAGGAAACATAAAAGCTGTGTTATACTTGTAAACTGGCTCTGGTGGTAGAAGGGAGAACTGATTTGTGTTAACTGCTGATTTCTATAGCAAATATTACCCCTGTAATTAATTTCAAGCTACTGATGGCATATCAATTGGCTCAAAAATTCACGAATATTTAATAATTATGTCTCACCCACCGATGTCAGCAGTTCCAACTTGCTGTTACCTGGGAGTCATAGTTGACTGCCTCCTCTTTCCACATCCAATACTCAATTTACTCTGTTGCTTTCTAAACATATTTCAAATGTACCCACAATTTGTCTTTGTTGCAACTGCATTTTTCTAGCCATCATCGTTTCGTTATCTTTCAGTTATTGTGAAAAACCACTTAACTGAGTTTTCTTAGGGTCCAGACTAGGTAAGGAGACTGAGGTGCCCAGAACACAGAACAGAAGGACACATCTTCACTTAATGTGGTACAAGTGTAGAGTCAGCCTTGTGTGACTCTGAGAGTCACAGCCTTCTTAGCTTTTATGCCTTATATGGCCACTGGCCTCACCCTAGTCCTAGCCCTGACTGTTCTTCTACTTTGCTTCCTTGTGGTACATTCTTTACATTATAGTCAGGGCAATCATTCTGAAAGACAAATTGTTAAACAGCCTGGAATTTTCTTATAAAGTTAACACACAGTTAACCCATGACCCAGCAATTCTGCCCTTAGGTATTCACGTAAGAGAAATGACATATCCACACAAAGACTTCAACTTGAATATTTATAGCAGCTTTATTCATAGCAACCCAAGAGTGGACACAAGCCAAATGTCTATCCTTTAGTGAACGGATAAACAAGTTATGGTGCGATACAATGGAATACTACTCAGAAATAAAAAGGAATGGACTACTGAGACACACAGTAGCACAGATGTAGCTCAAAAGCCTTATGCTATATGAAAGAAGCTAGCCTCATTTCATTTACAGCATATTCTAGAAAAGACTAAATATAGTGAGAGAAAGCAGATCGATGGTTGCCAGACCAGACTGTGGTAGTAGATGGGGGAGGATGCTGACAAAAAGGGGACATGAGGCAATTTTTTATGGTGATGGAAATATTCAATAACATGATGGCAGGAGTAGCTGCATTCGCCAAAGCTCATCCCCATTCACAACTGGTGAATTTTGCTATATGCAAATTGTAATTTTAAAAAGTGACTTTTGAAAGTAGTCTAAAAATGAATGGGAAGAAAAGAAAAATAAGTGCAGCCCAAATGCATGATTCTTGAGAGTTTTTGTTCAAAAGGGAAACAGACAAATATGCTAGATAGCTGGAGTGGAATATAGACCAGGGAGAAATTATTATTAATTTTTAGTTGAGAGGTACTATGCCATATTTGGTGCTGAGTAATTCAGAAACAACAACAAAGCAAAGCAAAACCAAAAAACAAACCAAAAAACCAAAAACCTCTAAACTTATGCAAGAGAACAAACAAAACTGGCTCAATTAGTGGCCTTGGGAAGACGTGAGTGGGCTCACTGAAGAGGAAGCAAGAGCATTTTGTGCAGGGGTTGCTGAGCAGGCAATGTGGTGGAAGAAAGCTCCGGAAGTTCTCTTCTGGTTGCTTCTGTTTTCTCGGGCAAAACAAAAATCACAGAATGACCCAAGACAATCAGTAACAGGAATGGAGTGGGGGTTCCAAAGGGAATGAGAGACTTGTTTTAGTCAATACAGGGAGGGTATGGAAACACGTACATTTTAAAAGACAATAATCAAACACTGATGTTCAAGAAGGAGGTTCCATCTGTGGTGAGTGAAGGGAAGCCCAGAGTGTCATCTGATTTACCCATTTTTCTATTTCTTGGATTGAACAGGAGATATTCAGTTGTTTCTACTGTCACTTGTATGTCTGTACTTGAAAATAAAAGATGTGAACCAGCAGCAGATTGAGTACCACCAGGCTCAGCCCTGCGTCTGAGGGGAAGTGGGGCCAGGTAGGCCTCCCGGGGAGCGGAATAGGCGCTCTTTTTCCTAGGCCATTAGACACGCTGGGAGGTGGGCATGAGGCCTTGAGCCGATTTTCATTTAAAAGAGGAAACAGAAGAGTTAGATTTATTCCTGAATCCTAATTTTTTCTTTTGGTGGTGCTGGGGATTGAATCCAGGGCCTTGTGCATAGCAGGCAAGCACTCTACCAACTGAGCTATATCCCCAGCCCCTTGAGTCCTAAACATTTGGTCGTAAAGCAGTTAGTGAAAGATACACACAAAAGTTTTTGCAAATTAAAAAAATAATATTAAAATTTCTATAGGAAAAAAAAGACAAAGAACACATACAAAGAAGTCCAAAAAAGAATATGAATGGTTAATAAATAAAAAGGCTTAACTACTAAAGAAATAGGTACATTATTTTTCATTTACAAGTTGGTAGTTTTCAAAAAAAATTAATATTCTGTACTGGTGAGAATTTGAGGAATCAAGACACTAGATGATGCTGTTGATGAGAGTATACATTAGCGGTTTTGGAGGGCCAAAATTTAACTGTTTAACCCTGTACCCAGTACTAACATTTTAAGGAATTTATTTCAGAAAAATTCTCTCTCTCTCTCTCTCTCTCTCTGTGCTTTTCTCTCTTTGGTAATTTTAGGTGCATATTATAACAATTCAAAAGTCCTTAAGAAAAAATATAATTCGTCACTGTTGAAACTCTTGAGTCTCATCTCGGGGACTTTCCCCATTGCATTGATCTGGTTCAGCTGGTCTGATGGCAGTTCCTGATTTGCCACCCTCTTTGCATACCTAGCAACCATTGCTTCCATTGTTCCCTCCTACCCAACCTGTCTAGCTTGATCATTCCTGAAAACTCAGCTTTCTGCTGTTTTCTGCGAGAAGTCTTCCCTGAGCACTCCCCCACTCTTCATCAGGGTCTCCCTGTAACTATCACTGGGATCACTCATCAAAATTATGTAATAATAGCAATATTCTGGTTAACCCTTTTAGAGCACAATGCTATTGCCAATAGTTCTAAGATGCTTTAAATGTATTACCTTGCTTCATTGTCACAACAACCGTATAGGATAGGAATAATTATTCTATCCTATGGATTCTATCCCTCCCATGTATTGAGAAACTGAGGCACAAAGTTACTTTCCCAAGTCTTTGCAATAGAAAATGGTAGATTTAAACCCAGGCAATCCAGCTCCAACATCTCTGGCTCATTTTTTCTATTTGAAAACTACACGTGCCTCAAGAGCAGTTTCCCTTGGTGCATGTTCACCCATGTGTCTCCAGCATCTGGAGTGTGTGCCAGAGTAAAGTCTCAAAAAAGCATGAATGAATGGATGAATGAAGCAGTTGGATAAATTCATACAAGGGACACTTTATGGCAGTTGAAAACAAGGCAGAGAGATGTATACTGACATCAAATAACATCTAAGATATGACGTTAAGCAAAACAAGCAAGTTATAAAATAAAGAGCACATGGCATTTTGTTGGAGAAAAATATGTTAAGAGATACATAAAAAATAATCAGGAGGTAGATTTTCGAAGCTTTAACAATGTTATCTCTTGAAGGATTTTCAATTCTATACTATATATTCCTGTAATTTTTTAATTACTTCTTTATTAATATTAATGTTAATTTTACAAGCAGATAAATTTTTAAAAGATTTTTGAAAGATCAAATTAAACAGCACCAGGAAATCGTTTTATAAACTTTGAAACCTTGTTAGCCATCCTTCATATTCACTGGCTCCCTGAGCAGAGGCTGCTGTCCAAGGAGGCCTGGGTGAGTCTCAGCACTCAGGACCTGGGGCTCTTGCTAGACTCCAGGCTGACACAGTCCTGACACAAAGCAATAAGCTCTGTGCTTCTTATCGGGGCTAATGCTAGTGGCTGAAATACGTCCAGGGGGTAAACAGAGAAGAAACTTACTGTCTTTGCTATTGCACATTTCCAAGTGAAGATAGTCTATGAATTCCTGGCGCTTACTGGGATTTGAAATAAATTTTCGGTACTTGCAAAAGCTCTTGATAAAGCTGGTCATTTTCAGCCACCCTTTTTTCTGGGAAAAGAAAGAGAGGATATTGCATTCATTAGCATAGCTGTTCACTGAGAGTCTACTGTGTGCCAGAAATTCGACATTCATTATATCTAATCCAACATTTCTTAGGAATAATTTTTAGCTCTAACATACATGTAAGGAAACTCAAGTCAAAAAGCTTGTTTAACCTGTCTCAAATCAAGCAGCTGGTGGGTGGAAGAGTCCAGTTTATACTAGGTGTAGCTGGGGCCATTGCCCATTCTCTTTCTACCAGTCTTTCAACAATGACTCGAGGTGCCACTGGAGAGGGAGCATGAATGCTCAAACAGGAACAAACACGGGACATAGGTAAGGGCAGCTTACAAGAAAGGAATGATGGTTCAGGCAGCTTTTGAAATGTTGAAGGAACAAGGAAATGAGCAAAACCATTGCCAAACATTTAAAAGTGAAAACTAAAATTGTATGCACCCACTAATATCTACCCATCACACCCATAAAACTGTACCCATAAATTTTATATTTCTTCCTCTCTTCTCCCTCCCTCTCTCCGGTGGCCCATATGGGGAGTGAATCTTCATCTCTTTTTAATAGGTTCCTAGTGATCATTATCTAGTTCATTAACTAGATAATGGGTGAGTGGTGATAATCACGTGCAGCTGACGATGCCTAGACAGTGGCCTTCTTGGGTCCAGTGTCTGCTTTTCACTGTCACTGACCTGGGATTCCAGCAGGTACATTGTTATCTTTGAGGGCTTCTTAGGCAGAGCTGGTGCTTCAGGCTCCACCTCCGGAGAAGGAGGAGGAAACGGGAATATATCTTGGTAATCCTTAAACCTGCCAGAAGGGAGACCAAGAATATCCAAAAAGGAAAAACCTGGTACATGAAAAATAGACAATTGAGGCAAACCTAGCTCAGCTTTGGAGGGAGCTGCAGTGGGAGATGGACGGTGAATCACTCAAAAATACCCATCTCGCCAGCATTTCAATCCTTTATGAGTATCAGTCTACCTTTACTGATCAACACTGTTCCTCTTTAAGGCAACAGAGCAGAAACAGTGTGTGTGTGTGTGTGTGTGTGTGTGGGTGTGTGTGGGTGTGTGTGGGTGTGTGCGTGCGCAGGTAGACAGAGGGTTCAAGATAAGCTTGGCTTTTCTTTGTTTGCTTGGGTATCTGGAGCAATGAGCTGTGAGAAGGGATTGTGAGACCCTTGATTAATATGGCTTTGGAAAGCCCACGAATCTTTGCCTTCACACTCACCACTTTTCATCCAGAGATTTCATGACGTGGCTCTGGACCATTAGCAATGTGGTTGTACTGACTTGACTCATTTCAGAGACTTCTTTGATGAGAGGGGCATCGCACTGCAGCATTTCTTCTAAAACAATGCAAGAAAGAAAAAAAATGGCTGTCATCCTCATCTCCCAGTTCTGAGGTAAGGTGTGTTTTCACCTTAGGGACTCACAGTCCCCGATCAATCTGGTTTAACTCTGAGCCTTCTACAATTTGAACACCTTTAAAGCATATTTGGAATGGTATGTGCAAGTGTATTTGTGGATAAAATAGCAGTCCTGCTTTAGTTCCATTCTAATTCAAAGATGAGTGCTTAAGGGAAAAATGAATTTTTTTAATTTAAAATTTTTCCCCCATATTTTTGGAAAATAAAATTTTAAAGGATTCATTTCTGCAGCTGGTGGGAAGTTTTCAATTTAAGGAGAGCACGTACAAGTGAAGGACTAAAGTCTGGCAGGGCAGATGGGGAATCCAGGATTACCAATAGGTAGGGAATGTCAATTGGTGCTCCAGGGGTGGGAGACTGTGGTGCTGGTTAATGAGGCTCTAAGATGGGTCAAGGACAGGATCTGAGTACTCCTCTTTCTCTTCTGGTTCGTTCAAAGCCATGTATAGAACTCAATATTCTGAGGCTCCACAAATAAGTATTTTTTACAAATAAAGACTTTTACCTCTTTTTCTATTTTTCTGTTTATGCCCTCTTCTTGGTTAACTGAAAACAAAATCTCCCCTAGACCCACTTCTGTTCATCTGTGCTTAAACAGGAAGCTCTGCCTTCATGATTTTTCTATAGATTTGACCACCTCCAGGATAGGAATATGCTCACCCCCCGGAGTCAATATTTTACTTGCAGCCTTTGCTTCTGGCCAAGGTGAATTTACATGGGCCAGGTTTACCCTCCTGCCTTAGGTAAGAAAACATGACAGCCACACAGTTCTCCCTGGTACAACTGGAACAACTGTCTTCTCAATTCCCATGGGTGGGTCGAGGTGGCCCCAGAGGGTAACACTCCAGTGTGGCACACACAGCTTGCTTTGCCTTTGCATCTAACTCCAGCCTAGTTGACTTGATGATCAGATGACTTGATTCTGAACTCAAGTTCTACCTAAACTGGGTTTTCAAACTGGTTAACTTTTCATCTTCATGTAGAAAATGCAGCAGATTATCCCTACCTCAGAGGGGTTAAAGGAAAGTCTGCTTATGAGAGGATGTATGTGAAAGTATTTTACACTTGACTTCCTTTACTAGTTTTACAACTTTGGATTTATTAATTCTTCTCTGCTTTCCCTGCCTGTCTTGGTCTTTGTCTCAATTCTGTCCCCATGTGGCCACTGCTCTGTGGGGCTCTCTCCCGGTTAGGTGAGACAGGCTATTTCTCTGGACATTAAAGGGAGAAGGAAACAGGACTCTGGAGAAAAAGATGCATACCAGGAGGGATTTTGCCGTGGAAGAAAGTCTGGATTATGTTTTCCAGTGAAGACATGTAAGTCTTCTCGTTGGCTTTCGAATTCATCCTCTGTACAGCCATCAGGAATAGTAGTGGGCCTTCCGCGTTATGTTCTCTGAGGAACTCCCTGAAGAGCTCCAGGTACTGTGAATTTAGGAGGACTTCTGTCAAGTTCCTGGAAGACAAGAGGAGCCTGGCTTATGGAGAAAGGACGATGACCCTGGGTTCTGCTCTAATTAGGGAGGGGGAGGGCGTCTGGGGCTGCAGAGCCTCTCGCCGTGTGTGAAGAGCATGGCTGACAAATTGGTGAGCGCTGTTTCCTTGGGGGTTAACTTGAATTTCCATCTGCCCTTCTTCAACCTGGTCCAATTGACAACAGGTCGAAGAGGAGGGGAGGAATTTTGAAGGAAGGTAATTTTTTCCCAAGGGAACTCTGTTTTCACATCATGGATTTAAAGCAATTCCCCATTGGAGCAGTCATTTCTGTGAGACAGAGCATGACTGAGCAGCAGTTTTGGATCCATTATTTCAAAATTTCCTTTACTGATTCCTCTTTCACTGCTCTTTAAATACAAGTGGCTTTAGTGTTTCATTTGCTGCTCTCTTTCTTTTTGACTTGTAGTTTTTTCTTTTTGCCTTGTAGGTTTTTTTTTCCTTAATAAGACTCCTGTAGCGCAAGAATTAAAATAAAGAATCAATAAATGGGGCTGGGGATGTGGCTCAAGTGGTAGCGCGCTCGCCTGGCGTGCGTGCGGCCCGGGTTCAATCCTTAGCACCACATACAAACAAAGATGTTGTGTACGCCAAAAACTGAAGAATAAATATTGAAATTCTCTCTCCCCTCTCTCTCTCTCTCTCTCTCTCTCTCTTTAAAAAAAAAGAATCAATAAATGGGATGGACTCAAACTAAAAAGCTTCTTCTCAGGAAAAAAAAAAAAAACAACAGTGAGATGAATAGAGAGCCTGAAGAATGAGAGCAAATCTTTACCACAAGCACATCAGATAGAGCATTAATCTCTAGAATATATAAAGCACTCAAAAACCTTGACACCAAAAAAACCAAATAACCCAGTTAATAAATGAGCCAAGGACCTGAACAGACACTTCTCAGAAGAGGAAATACAATACAATCAACAAATATATGAAAAAAAATGTTCAATATCTCTAGCAATTAGAGAAATGCATATCAAAACTACTCTAAGATTTCATCTCACTCCAGTCAGAATGGCAGCTATCAAGAATACAAAGAACGATAAGTGCTGGCAAGAATGTGGGGAAAAAGGTACACTCATATATTGCTGCAAATTGGTGCAGCCAATCTGGAAAGCAATATGGAGATTCCTTGGAAAATTGGGAATGGAACCACCATTTGGCCAGCTATCCCTATCCTTGGTCTATACCCAAAGGACTTAAAAACAGCATACTACAGGGACACAGCCACATCAATGTTCATAGCAGCACAATTCACAATAGCTAAACTGTGGAACCAACCTAGATGCCCTTCAATAGATGAATGGACAAAGAAAATGTGGCATATATACACAATGGAATATTACTCAGCAATAAAAGAGAATAAAATCATGGCATTTGCAGGTAAATGGATGGAGTTGGAGAATATAATGCTAAGTGAAGTAAGCCAATCTCAAAAAACCAAATGCCAAATGTTTTCTCTGACATAAGGAGGCTGATTCATAGTGGGGTTGGGAGGGGGAGAATGGGAGGATTAGAACTCTAGATAGGGAAAAGGGGTGGGAAGGGAAGAGAGGGGCATGGGGGTAGAAAAGATGGTGAAATGAAATGGACATCATTACCCTAAGTACATGTATAAAGACATGAATGGTGTGAATATACTCTGTATACAACCAGAGATATGAAAAATTGTGCTCTATATGTGTAAATGAATTTTAATGCATTCTTCTGTCATACATAGCAAAATGGAACAAAAATTAATTAATTAAAAAAATAATGAAGAGCACTAAAAAATAGTACATGTTACATGCTTGGGATTATATTTTTGGGATATAGAGTTTCAGAGAGGAAGAAAGTCTTAGCAGCCTTGGCATTTGGAGAAATTTTATGCTGTAAGAGGACTGAAAGGTGGGTGGGAAGCTCTCAAAGAAAAGACCACAGAATCTTTGCCTAGCAGAAGCTCACTCTCCTATTGATTAGAAAGCGGAAGACATGAAGTAGGGAACCAGTTAGGAAGTTACAACAGTAGTATATAATTCAGAAAAAAAATGGGTAAGGATACATGTACAAAGAATGCTTATAATGGTACTATTTATAGCAATGAAAAATTAAAAACAGTGGAAATGTCTATGTTATGGTTTAGATCTGAAATGTCTCCCAGAAAAACGTAGCAGCAATGTTCAGAGGCAAAAAGACTAGGTTAGAGCTGGAACCACATCAGTGGATTAATCCATTTGATAGATTAATAATCTGAATGGATGGGTGGTAACTCCACACAGATGAGGTGTGGCGGGAGGAAGTGGATCACTGGGAGCTTGTGCTTGGGTACTTGGAGACATATCCTATCCCTGGCTCCCTCCACCCGAACTTCCCAGATGCCATAAGCCAAGCAGCTTTCTGCTGTCACAAACTTCCATCATGATATTCTGCCTTGGAGCTGGACAAGCATGGATTGAACCTCTGAAACCACAAGCCAAAATCAATCTTTCCTCCTCTAAGTGGTTCTGATGAGGTATTTTTATCATAGTGGTAAAAAAAAGCTAACTACAGTCCATAAAAAGAGAATAGTTAAATAAATCACAAAACATCCATAATATGGAAGGATGTAGATCTATACATAGTCACTTAAAAGGATGTCCATGATAGTTTTAAGATAAAAAAAATTAGTGCATGATATATATTGCATGGTGCCATTTTTAGAAAATAAAAATAATAATTTGAAATGCAAAGTGTATTTGTTCATACATGTAAGACACACGGGAAAGGGTCTGGAAACTTATATACAAAGGAAAAGTGGTGCTTGGATATATTACTATAGCCAGATCCTACATCTTACCTGGGTCTCACTGAGAGCTTCCTAGTACCAGATTTTTTGGAGAAGGATATTTTCCTTTGTGGGGCTGTAATTACCTTTGGTTCCTTGACAATTTGCACTTTAAAATCTAAGAAAAATCACAAAGTTGAGTAAAATCGCATTATAAGGAATGAAATAGACTCCTTCTGAAATTAAGGGAATCCCTCTAAATTAAGGAGAACTTCCTTAGACTGAAAATAAAATCTCCAAACTGTTTTTAATTTCTGACTTCCTCACACAGAGAATAGGGAGGCTACCCAAGAGATATTTGCCAAAAGCATTTAAAGGCACAAGTACTGCTCACAGTAATGTGGGTCTAGGAACAGCAGTTGGAACAGAATTAGATCAAACGTTGAAGCCAAAAAAAGATGAGGGTCAAAGTTGAACCAAAAAGATGAGGTTAGGAAAGAAGATGAACAAGGTAATAAGGGTTGTTAAAACCCCTGCACATACCAGAGACTCAAGAAGCCCATGAACATGTCCAGATTTGGGTGTATGCCAGGAAAAGGCATTAAAAGACACAAAATTTCTGGAAATGCTTTGGAATAATCATAATACAAACTGCTGCTGATGATTGAGAAAATAATATGATCCAGACATTGTTAAAAACTCCTTCTGTGAGATCTCCTGGAAGCATCACGGAAGGCTAAGAGGGGACTATTACTGAGCTCATTGGAAGAGGAAGTAGGTAGAAATGTTCCATTTATAATCAGTGACTTACCTAGAGAAATCTGTCATCCTCAAAACTTGAGTTTTTTTGGGTCCAAACTAGTGCTTTCCAATAGAAATATAATGTGAGCTACATATATGATTTAAATTTTCCAGTAGTCACATTAAAAAAAAAGAGCTTAAAGGAAAAGGGTGCAATTAATTTTAATACCATATTTTATTCAACACATTTGTTTCAGTCACATTTCAAAAATTCAATGACCACATGGGGGTAGTGGCTCCTGTATATATGGTGTCAGGCTAGAGACTCTGGTTCCCTTCGAGGAACCAGAGGACAGAGCAGGTGTCCATTCACTTGAAACTCTTCATGTCACGAGGCCAGCAGGCAACAAAGGAGTCATTATATTGATAGGATATATCCGTAATTATTGAGACCATGAGAATTCACTTGTCACCCATGTTACTCTCTAGCTCAATGTTGATAATAAATTGATGAAGGAAGCAGCCACCACCCAAGAAGTCATGATGACCGGGGGCTCAGAGACATCAGAGATGAGAGCCACCCCCCGCCCCATCCCAAGACTAGTAGAGATACTGGCTGAGCAAAAGGAGAATGTAGGATGGGAAGGAGAAGAGAGGTATTAGTATTAGAAACAGTGTAGTAGTGTAGGCCATCCTTTCTAGAATAAGTTCCCAAGGAAAAGAAACCCACCCAATCCCTGGAGAGCTATTCTGGGATGAGGTGAAATTACTATACAAAGCAAGTGGGCAGCAGTAGGAGCTGCTGAGTGCTACCCACATCCTCTCTTTAGGACCAAAGCATGCATCCCCAGCTGCCTGGAGAGCTGGTTGCTGATGGCGCCCAGATGGGGCTCCTTCTGGGAGTTGCCCAGCCAAAGGAAATTGCCTGACCCAAAGTGTGCCCTCCCATCTGGGTCCACGTGGAATTTCAAAGGCCCAGGTCTGTTGCTCCAGTGAGGGACAACTCTGGAGGGTCATCCTAGCTTTGGAGTTTCCTGTGCTATTGCTAAGGCCTGTTGGGACTGCCTCATAGTTGGGCAGTCCCCCTTGACCTCTGCCCAGTGCTGTTCTCCTCATTCCTTTAGAGGTGTCCTTCCCAAGAACACCCCTAACAAACATCCTTCCACAATCTCTGACTCCAGGAAGCTTGGAGGAAGATGGACACCCATTGTGTGAAACTCCTACTAGACAGGAAATCAGGAATGAACAATCTTAATGATCTCTATGTTTGATAATTTATAATTACATCTCATTTTCCTAATACTCTTCTATGGCTCTGTAGAAGGCAAAACAACAACAACAACAACAACAAAACAGACAATCAATACCTTCTGACTACATCTCCATGACAAATAAGGTATGGTTCCTCTTTGGATTTTTGTCCCCTGAGTTTGGAAATTTTCTCTCAGATCTGAGAAAACCTAATTGCTGCAAATCTACCCCTGAATTGAACACTTGCCTATGAGAGGTGCTTTCTCACAGTATAACTTGTAGTCATCACTGATCTTCTTTATGGCCACCTTTGGATACTTAAAGCAGAGTTCCTCAAAAGTCAGGTTGTTTATGTCTGTGAAGTAAAGGAAAACAGAGAGTCTAGTTATCCACTCTAGGTTCAAATATTCACTGACTTTTCTTGGGCATATGGTTTAAAGTGCCACTTAAATAGGACAATAGTGTTTTGGTGGAATGCTTACATAAAGAACATAAGTTTTCTAAGCCAAATTAGAAAGAAAGAAACATAGCCTTTCCTCCCCTCTAGAATGGGAGGATTCTGTCCTCTGGAAGGCTTGACCCATTGAGATTTTCTGCCTGAGGGAGGTTAGTGTACAGATGTATGATGCAGACAGAGCTACTTACTGTTAATGCACACACAAGAAATATCTCATTCAGAGCCAGACGTGGTGGTGCACGCCTGTAATCCCAGTGGCTCATGAGTCTAAAACAGGAGGATCATGAGTTCAAAGCCAACATCAGCAAAAGTGAGGCGCTAAGCAATTCATTGAGACCCTGTCTTTAAATAAAACACAAAATAGGGCTGGAGATATGGCTCAGTGGCAAAGTGTCCTTGAATTCAATCCCCAGTACCCAAAAAATAAAACCCAAACCAACAACAACAACAAAAAAAGAAGAAATATCTCATTCAAATGACTGGTGATCCATTCAAAGTAATCATCTTTTGTAAGGTGGGGTTAGGAATAAATCTCAGGTATTTTGCTATAGCCTCAAAAATGATGAATTTAAGGATAGTACATGGCAAATGAAGTTAGGACCTTTATTGTTCTTGGCTTTGACTTCTGGAATTAATTTCAGAACTGACAGTACATATATCCAAATAGCATCAATAATGGCAAATCATATGAAATATGATATGTCAAGAGCTTTGTAATGTTTTGAACAACCAATAAAAAAAAAAAAACATTGTTCATTGGGGTGGATTTTTTTTCCCTAGAAACAACCACACATGATTTCTGGTAATGCATGGTGAATTGAGAGGTAACATCTCTGTATCAAAAATATTGTGGAGGAAGGAGAGAATAGGGAATGTGTGTACAGGGGTTTTTATTGTTGTTGTCATAGAATGAATATGATCTTGATTTAGGTAATGATGATGGTTACACAACTTTGCGAATGTAAGAAAGCCTACTGAGTTATGCACTTTAAATGGGTGGATTTTATAAAATGTATACCTCAATAAAAATGAAAATGCAGAAATAAAAAAAAAATATTGTGGGACAATAAGGCTGAGCTACAAGGGAAATTTTAGAATGTTCTGGGCTATAGGAAACAGAAAAGCAGCACTTTTATCTTCTACCAAGAGGGAAATACTCCTTTGGGTTGGCTTGTGGTGTTCACAGTTCATCCAGTTGCACAGAGTTCTTCTGGACCGCTCCCCTCAGGCCAGTACTTAATGCCACTGTCCTCCTGTGAGCATCATCGCTGTTACCCTCATCTCACCACCATCATCTGTCAGTCAGGACCATCCAGTCACAGTGGTGGGAGCAGCACGTTGTTTCTCAGTGAATCCAGGTTTCTAGGCCAGAGTCAACCCCTCCCTCACCAAGCAATCTTGGAAAAGTCTTTTCGCCTTCCTGGGACCCAGTTTGTCCACATAAAAGGTGAGAGCGTTCTAGCTCGGGTGCTCTGTGAGTTTACAGTGCAGTTTATCAGGCCAGACTCGTGCTCCCAAAAGCAGTGGGAAAGGACCTGATGAAGCGCATGCTGAGGGAAGGAGAAGGAAGGAGCTGGGTCTCACTCTTCCTGGCCACACCTAGCTCTCTAGAGTCACCCAAGGAATGCCCAGCACCTAGCATGTTCACCAGCCATCCTTTCATCCACTTTTGTCATTATTTCTTGGGGAAATTTTGGAAAGTTCTGGTTTTAGAGGGAAGGTGGAACCTCTAAGGTAAAAGGAGAGGGCTAGATTTAAATAAGCATGCCCAAGCATGGCTCCAAGGGCAATCATCCAGGGCATCTGTTTTGTATAGAGTGCTGTTGAAGTTTTTAAAGAGTGTTACTTTTTTTTTTTTTTTTTAGTACTGGGGATTGAACTCAGGGGTGCTTAACCACTGAGCAACATCTCCATCCCTTTTTTTTATATTTTATTTTGAGACAGGGTCTCAGTTGCTTAGGGCCTCACTAAGTTTCTGAGGCTGGCTTTGAACTTGAAATCCTCCTGCTTCAGCCCTGCGAGTTGCTGGTATTACAGGTGAGTGCCACTGTGCCCAACTGAGCACCTGCTTTCTTTTATTACCACTAATATTCTCAATGATCACTAAACCACAGGACTTTATCCCACTTTGTAGCTGCATAAATGAGGTTCAGAAAGCTGTAGTAACTTGCCCAAGCTCACCAGTGAGTGGCATTCACGAAAGCCTAAGGGTTCAATGGTAATAACAGTGGCCATGTTTGAAGGGGCAGGAGCCTGCCCACCTTGAGCGCTTTGGCTTCCTCAGATCCACTAGGGGGCGCAGCAGTCTGCCAGAATTCAAATCTGGCCTCTGTCAGGGAGGTTGTGACCTTGGGGAGATCATCCTCTCTGGGCCTCAGTTACTTAGCAATTAACTGCCTAAGTTATTTTAAAGATCAAATGTGGTAATTTTTGTATCCCACAGTGCTGACACACAGGAAATAATCACTAAATGTTAAATAATTATAATTTTCCAGTTTCCTAGAAGGGTTAAAAAAGAAACAAAAACAAACACAAACAACAAACAAACAAACAACAACAACAACAAAAAATAAGCCCCAGTAACATATCTTACCTTCCAGAAACACTGGAGACTGCAGTTCTACCTGGAGAGACCCAGCTTGGCGTAGGTTCTCAGTCGCTACATTTGGCCACTGCATCGAATCCATTTTCTCCATGTTAGCCAAGGCCTGGGTTAACTCCAGAGATTTCTGCATCCTCTTATAAAGAAGAATGTTCTCTTCTCTGCTTATAGATTTTCTTCTATGGCACCGGTTTTTGATGAACCGTTTCTGAGTCTAAGAGAGGGAGCAGAGGGTGGGGAGCAGGCAGATTTTACATAGGAATTAGACCAGAAGCAAGAGTTTTGTAATAACTCAGTCCTCCTTATCTCCCTGTTACATAGCCTTATGCTGATTGTCTTCAATACATTAAGAGCCAGTGCTCTTTTACACACTAACCCCCACCCTCTTTTAATCAAACCCATTTTTCCATAGGGAAAATTTTCCAAATGAATGTGACTCTTTCAAAGTCAGCTTTGTTCTGAATCTTTTTCCTTGAGTGGCTTATCTTCAGAATATCAGGGACTAAGCCAATCTCCAGTTGCCTCCAGGAATAAATCCTATTTTCATTTACTTTAATAAACAAGCCTTCTAAAACCACCTTCTCCTGTTCCTTAACCAAATAAGCCTCCTCTTTCCTCAATCCCACAATTCCTCCTCAACCCAAAGTCCCTCCTACTGTAAAAACGAGAAACCAGTAGTCCTCTTCATTCAGGAACTCATTATAGCAGGGGCTGAGTATCTGAAATCCAAACACAACACAGGTATTAGGAGGTGATGCTCAGCTTGCTGCCTCTTTCTGTTTTGTGTCCTCATGGAGCAATTGTGCTGCATGCAGATTCCCCCAGTCTCCAAATTAGAGATCTGAAAGCACTGCACATCAGCTATGACCAGCCAACGGGCTTTCCTGTATTGCTCTGAACATAGCAGCTCTGATTTTAAGTCTCAAAGGATAGCAATAGATATACACTTAAAAAGTGATATAAGCATGTAGCAGATCTGAGTTCTTGGGGAACTAAAGTATATTCCTGAGCAAACACAGCTTACTTATTGAATCCTGGCAACATATAATGTAATATAATGCCACTGATTAATGAATAAGCTCTAAATGTATATTGAATATGAATGGTGAAAGAGATTGTGAAATGAATACTCTATTAATGATCCTTCCGTTTTACAAGATTTCTGAGTATAATAACTAATAACTAAATCATCAAATTGGTTTAAGAAGTTATACTTAGTAGAGAATTTTTCATTGAAAAGATAATCATATATCCAGCAAAATAACAGTAATGGATAATAAATATAATAAACACTATTTAAAACCTTATCATTGTTTCTTTTTTTTTTTTTTTTGGTACTGGGGATTGAACTTAGGGGCACTTGACCACTGAACCACATCCCCAGCCCTATTTTTTTATTTTATTTAGAGATAAGGTTTCACTGAGTTGCTTAGTGCCTCGTTTTTTTGCTGACACTGGCTTTGAACTCATGATCCTCCTGTCTCAGCCTCCCGAGCTGCAGGGATTACAGGCATGTGCCACTGCGCCCAGCTTTATCATTGTTTTTGTTTTGATGTATTATAGTTTCTTTCATATTGAGCTTGTTCATCACTTGATAAACTTTCCTGGCCCCTCCTCAGAGCAGTGTGTGATGTGACAGACCAAGAAGCACTTTTTGTTTCAGGTGTCGTGGGCTCTCTGGTCTCTGTTGGAAGTACTCAGCTCTGCAGTTGTAGCACGTGACAACGTGTAAACAAATGGGCATAGTTGTGTTGCCATAAAACTTTATTTGTGGACGCTGAAATATGGTTGTTATATGATATCTGTCTGTCATGTTACATTTCTCTTTTGATATGTTTCAACCATTTAAAATATGTACAACCAATCTTGTAGTTTGCTGGCCATGCAAGTACAGATGGTAAACTGAACTTGGCTTCTGGGTTACAGTGTGCTAACCTTGTAATAGACTGAGCAGGAGTTTGGTCACTGGCCCAGCACCGTCAATACTTCACAGAGAGGCCTTTGGTCTTGGTCTACTGTCTGTGTATTGTGAAAAGGAGGATGTGAGAACCTCACAAGGCCCTGTCTTGGTCTAAGTTTCTATGGGTCTGAAAAGGGGCTGGAAAAGAATAAATATTTGTGTCCATACTACTTGCTGGACATTGTACACATAGTGTCTTTATTAAAGGGAGTCATATGACCCCTGATATACTGATGAGGAAATCAAGGATCAGAAGTGCACAGCAACCTTCTACCTAAGACCAAATTTCCAAAGTGGAAATGTTACAATTGAAACTCACCTCTGTCTGTCCCTTCTCATTAAGTCTTCGTGTTCTTTGTATCTTTAGTCTTGATTTTTTAAAAAGTTTTTAAAATCATGGTAAAATATACATAAAACAAAATTTGCCATATTAACTATTTGAAGTGTATGATTCAGTTACATTAATTATATGTACAATATATGTATAATCATTTCTTTTTCCAAAAATTTTTCATCACCCCTAACAGAAACTCTGTAACCTCTAAGAAGGTACTCCCCATTTTCCTCCTTGAATCTCTTAGTAACCTTTAAATCTTTCTGTTAGATTCCGTCTTTTTAAATTTTTTTTTAGTTGTAGATGGACACAATTCCTTTATTTTGTTTATTTTTTTATTTTTATGTGGTGCTGAGGATCAAACCCAGTGCCTCACACATGCTAGGCGAGTACTCTACCACTGAGCCACAACCCCAGCCCAGATGCTCTCTTTATCTAATTAAGAAACTTTTTGTTTAATTACTTGTCATCCTAATTGACTTCTCACATATCTCTGCCAGTGTCTAAGGAACACCTTACTCTGTTGCTGAGAATGAGAGTTGTTCTAACAAGGGGAGGGAGGAGTGGTGGACTTCTGGATAGATTTTTAAGGCTGAGACAACAGGATTCACCAATCTGTTAGACTTGGGTGTGAAAGGAGGAAATGGATCAAGGATGATATCAAGATTTTTAGTCTGAGAAACTGTGATAGTTCAACTTACCTATTTATCAATACCTTCAATATTTTGCAGGTAGGGGGCTTTACAATGAAAGTCTGCTAATCCAGGAAATATAGTCCTAATCTGATCCTCTGACCCTACTCCACAAAACACAGGGAGGCTTCTAGTGTTTCCTTAACCAAGAACTGGGCTTAGGAAAGCTACAGTTGTGGATCTACTGAACTGCTCTGGCCTGATACTACCTGGCTGTCCATCCCAGATAATCATGATGTGTTGGAAATCAAGAAGGACATAAACACTAAGAACATCTGAGTTCTGATCCTGATTCATCTACGAGCCAGTCATGTACTCATTAGGCTAATTTACTTACGTACTAATAGGCTAATTACTTAGCCTTTCTGAGTCTCAGCTTCCTCATCTGTAGAACAAAGACAACAATACAATGCTGCCTGCCCTTGGAGTTGCCAAGACTCGGAAGGAGACAAGGTACGTGCATGTGACTTATAAGGCAAAAGCATTATAAGCACTAAATAATCACATGTTTATATTTATTTTTGCTTCTTGCTACCCTTTATCCTGCTGTACCTTAGCAGATTAACCTGTATGGATACCAGCAGGCTCTCTTATCCTCTGATTGGGTTCACCTCATGAGGTGTCCTGGCAGGAAATGGGAAAGCAGAAGATTCCCTCTGGATCAGTGTGGATGCTACGTCCCTTAAGGGATCACTACCTTAAAGGAGACACTGCTGTGTCTCACTCCATACAGTTGTTCCCTCCTGATTCTAGTAACTGCTCCCTCTCCTCAGTTCTTCAGTTCTTCAGGAATAATAAAGGTGCCCCATCCTTAACAACTTTGTGGAAGGTATTGTGCTGTCTCTGTGGTCTCCCCACCCCATCCACTGCTCTGTAAGCAGACCCTTTTATTTGGCTCTCATCTGTTATCCAACTTGACTTTTCCAATTTGTTTTTTGCCAGGCATCTGATGACACAATAATCATGGGCCTCACTTTTTTTATTCAGGATATTCCTTTGCTTTTTTTTTTTTTTTTTTTTGGTACTGGGGATTGAACTCAGGGGCACTCAACCACATCTGCAGCCCTATTTTGTATTTTATTTAGAGATAGGGTCTCACTGAATTGCTTAGTGCCTCGATTTTGCTGAGGCTGGCTTTGCATTTGCAGTCCTCCTGTCTCAGACTCCTGGGCTTCTTGGATTACAGGTGTGTGCCACCACACCTGGCTATTCCTTTGCTTTTATGTAATGTTTTGGTAATAAGTCATTCCTCCCAATTGGTTATCTCCTTGGTAGCTAGTTTAGGAAAGGAGGATCCCACTTTTCAATATATAACGTGCATAAGAGAGTTAGTAAAACTTATCTTTAAAATATCCTGATTTTCATGGTTTTGGAAGACTGAAAATAAGGAAGTGAAGGTGGATACTGACCACTCCCCCTCCCCGTTGCATTCTACTTGAGAGTTTTTTTCTGGTTCATGGAAACTTGCAAAACTTGTGCCTTAAGAGGTTAAGCAGCTTTTCAATATATGCAGATTTATGTGGGTAGATATAATTAACTTAGCAAGTACAGATGACCAGGTAGGGAGTTTGGTCAGTCTTGATGTGATCTGCAGAAATTAACTCATTTCTTTGAGACAAGGCTTACCTTGCAAATTTCCCTCTGGGCTTTGGGAATCCAGGGGGTCACATCCCCGGAAGACAGCAGCTTTTTCAGGCCTTGAATGGTCTGAGATTTGAGTGGTAAGCATGGACCAAGCTGCTCATTCAAGTAGAGCTCACAGATCCTGTGACCCAGCATGTGACGAAAGATGGCATTTCCATTATTCCTGTTATTCATCAGAACACGCAGGAAATGGTGTAGGTCCTGCCACAGGTCCAGGAGTCGTCTCTCCACTTTCAATTTCATCTTCTTTAGGTAGTGCCGGAAGGGACTCCCTGCATGGATGTCAGCACACAGTGCCCAATATGTGTACCCCAGGGGGAGGCTTTTCCTCATGGCCTTGTGGATTGTCATCTGTGAAGAATAATTAATGATAGGGGTGGAAGTCCTCATTTGGGTGGAAAACCTTGTCTCAAAGAGGCCCTCCATGAGGAGGTGGCCCTTGGATTTCTTCGTAGTGAACTTCTTAGCACAGGGATCATCATTTTCTAAGGAACTGATTATTGACTCCTTTGAAGAAGCCACTATTGTCAGGGAAGACATCTGTGACACCATCTTCTGAGAACTCATCTCCTGTGTAGGCATAGTCCTGCTATCCACCTTGGGACTGGATTCCAGAAAGCGAGGGTCCGTTTCTGCCATGTGCCACATCCTCCTCCTGGCCTTCTTGCTTGAGTAATGTTTTTCGCAATGGAAACTCTTCCTGATGCTCATGTTCAGAGGGAGTTCTCCCGCGTGGGTGTAGCAAACGCTGTACAGGCGAGTCTCATACTCCTGCATCAGGCCCTGGCAGGCCTCCTCACTGGCCATTGCCACCTTGGCGTGGGTGTAGAAGTTGGGGAGCCAGTAGCTCTGGACTTTGAACAGAGCCACTTTCTGCATGTGGCTCAGGGTCTCCCTTCTGGTGGTTGACTGGTTGGGATGCCAGATGGAGAGGTTCAGGAGGGAGTCTGGAAAGAACATAGAGAGAAGAAGGTGAAAGTGGTGTGGTGGTGATGAGGGAGGTCTTTGTATTTAGCCTCACAGAATTCTGAAAGCTGGATAGGGAAGACATACAGTGGACCCATTTTTAGGTTTTTCTCAGTACACAGTGACCTTTTTCTCTGATTATCTTTCTTCTTTCCCATAGAAATGAGGCATATTATGAGATTTCTTCAATAATGTTTAGACTACTGAATGTTACTGTAAAGAAAAGCAAAAAGAATAAGAAACGATCATTAAGAACAATGATACACATATCTGAACGTCATTCTTCAGGATCCGAGATGGCCAATGGAAAGGGTTTGGATTGTATAATTGGAAAGAATCAAATCTTTCAAATAATAGCCCTCACTAACCTGGACATTTTAATGTTATCAACTTTTCAATTATCTAGATGAATAGAAAAAAGTATGGCGAATCCCAAGCAGCAGATCTTCTAGAACACATTGATATTTCGATTTGAAATGCTTTCTTATTTAGCCAACAAATAAACATGGATGGATCTGATGTTCTAAAGAGAAGGTTGACGAACTTTTTATGTAGAGGGCCAGATAGTAAATATCTTGGGCTTTGGGAACCACATACAGTTTTGGTTGCATAATCGTCTTCTTCTTTTTCAAAACCCTTTGAAAATTAAATACATTCTTTGCCTATGGGCACATACACTGCTCTTTGGCCCATGGGCTATAATTTGTTCTAGAGAATCCAAGGGAGAGCTGTGCAGGCTCAGAAGATATAGGGACTTTTCAATTACCCTGTTCCAATCCATCTTCACTCCTTCCACCCACCCTGCACTGGTGGGTAATATCTCAGGAAGAGGCAAGCACCAGACTACCCATGGACGGCTGGTCTCTTTCAGTCTTTCCCCAGTTAAGGGTTGGGGTTCCCACCGCCATTCCTGATACCAAAGCAGATAGAGAGGGTGGCAGTCTGAAAAGCAAAAGACTAGGGGCTTCTAGACACTGGATTGGCTTTTTGTTTCCATCCTCTAAGAATTTCACTTCAAATATGCATTATAATTCTTACTGATGTTCACGTTGCAGAGCTTGACTACCCTGGACCCCGACTGCAGATGGTTGGCCTTCAGCATGAGAAGGAGGGACAGGTAGTGGTCTCTCATTTTCAGGTCCATCTCATCTATGCTCAGGATCTTCTCAGCAAGGATCCAGAAATCCACCAACTCTTCACCTACAGATCAGACAGGATGGGCTTGGAGCTGCCTAATCTTGACCCTTTGGTAGTTGCTTCTGGGTGAAGCCACTTGTACCCCCGCCCCCCATCAGCCTGTTCGGCTGCATCATTAGAAATTCCTCAGGGTAAGACATCATCTCCAGAAAAGTCCTAGTGTGGGGGAGGATGGGAGCATGGGGAGAAGGGACTTAATGGGTAGTGGTCCTTGGTGACTTCTTGTTGTTATTGCTCTTACTAGAAAAACTATCACTTCAGGGAAAACTACAAGACTCTGAGTATGAATCATGAGATAGTTTTGCCCCAAAAAAATGAAGATCAGAGGAAAAAGAGCATTTCCTAGATCCTGGACACCGTGAACAGCCTGCAGAAAGACGCTGGGGTCAAAAGTCACCAAAGACCCACATTCCCTATTTTACAACTTTGCAAGAGCCAAACTGATTGGCAAACGGAAAGATATAGCCTGTCCTACTTCTTCTTTACCTGGAGACCCAGGGTTTCACCCTGAAATCTAGGACCTGTTCCTAGTTTAACTTAGCCCTGATGAACTGGAGTGTCTGCCAGCACAGACATTTCCAGCTTCCCAGCTCCCAGAAATCACCAGACACCCCAGAAGAGAAAGCAGAGATTTCCCACAGGTTCACCTTTTGTTCCCCATTTCCCCACCCCAGTCGCAGTTTTATAAAGCTCCGCAGGGCTCTTGTTCATCTTTAAATCCCAATCTACTAGCCCACAGGCTGCCACAAACAATGCCCAATAAATAAATGTTAAGAGAATGAATGAATGAACGCAAGGGACCCTGACTGCTTTTACCTCTACTATGGATCCCAATTGTACTGGATTTTTACCCGAACTGTATTATTAAACACTTCTTATATTTACCATAGACACTCATAGCTGTCAATGGGAGATCCAGGACAACCAGAGAACTATTAAGAATGGTCCAAGACAACTTGAAGGGACAAATTCAAGAACCCACCTGCGCTGCCCTTGAGGTAGGAGCAGAAGCGCCACATCCCTCTGACTCCGCCAATGCATTTCTCCAGTAGCCACTGGTCTGCCGTCTTCCATCTCATCATCTTGGCTGCCGGAAAAAGTCCATGGTAAGAGGGAGAATGAGCTCTTCCCCTGCCTCTCTCTCAGTCTTGCACACAGCAGACACCCATTTGCTCAGTGTGAGTAAAGAAAAATGGTGGCCAGTTAGGGAGTGGGGTCCTGACAATGGAGTGCTTTTGAAGTTAGGCACCATGCCATCGGTCAAGTGACATGTGGTTTCCACAGACAAGCACATAGTCCACCCTCCACCCAAGGCACCTCCCCGTACAGTCTCCACCTGACCATGATATCTTGCCCTCAGGGCATATTTTCATCCACCTTTACAAATGTCTATATATAATGAAAGGGTGGTTGAGTAGAGAGGGGGATTTGTTATGTTTTCCTCCATGGATGCTCCTGGACCTTAACTTTGTCATGGTAGCACATCGTTAATTTCCTTTGGTTAGTGAGTCAAAATTTACCAATGTAACCCCAGATGGAAATTTTGTTCATTCATTCCTTCCACAAATATTCATTACATGCCTACTAAGTGCCAGATACCATTCTAGGTGATTTAGATACAATAGCACAGAACAAAAATCCCAGGAGCTTATATTCTTGTGAAAGAGACAATAAGCAATAAGCATGATGAGTAAATGCTTTCTCTACTAAGATTAAAGGTTACAAGCACCATAGGAAAAAAGGAAGAGCAGAGCGAGGTAGAGGAGATTGGGAGTTCTGGGGGCACAGTCGGGATGATGGGAACGAGGTAGTATCACATAGGATCTATGGTCAGAGTAGCTTTTATTGAGGGGATAGGATTTGCATGGGCACATGAGGAGGTGAGAGGGAGCCATGTGGACATCTGGAGGAGCATCCAGGTAGAGGGAACAGCCAGTGGAAAGGCTTGAAGTGGTAAGTGTCCTGCATGTTGGATAAACTGCAAGGAGGTCAAGGTGGCTGGAACGGAGTGAATGGGGGTGGTGAGAATAGGAGGAGATGTGGTCAGAGAGGAAACGGAGCCAGGCCTCTCACACCAGGAAGGTCACTGAGACAGGAGCCACTGGTGGTATGTGTGGGGGAAAGTGCAGGCAGAGTGGAGGAGAAACATAATTTGAAGTACATTCCCTCCTCCCAATTTTTTATTATAGTAAAATACATCTAACATAAAATTTACCATTTTTCACTCTTTTTAAATATATGGTTCAGTGTTATTAAGTGGATTCATAAAGTTGTGCAACCATCACCACCTCCCATCTCCAAAACACTCTTCTTCTTGTAAAACTGAAACTCTGCATCCATTAAACAGTAACTCCTCATTTCCTCCTCCTCCCAGCACCTGACAATCATCCTCCTTCTTCCTGTGTCTGATTTTGACTATTGTACGTTCTTCATGTAATGGAATCAAACAGTATTTGTCTTTTTTCTCAGCACAATGTCCTCAAATTTCATCCACATTGTAGCATATGTCAGAATTTTCTTTTTAAGACAGCACAATATTCCATTGTATGTATATAACATTTTTGCTTATCTATCTGTTGATGGACACATAGTTGTTTCCACATTTTTTTGCTATGTAGAGAATGCTGCTATGAACATGGGTTTACAAATATCTCTGAGTTGGGCATAGTGGTGCATGCCTATAATCTCAGAGGCTCAGGAGACTGAGGCAGAAGGAGGATCCCTGGTTCAAAGCCAGCCTCAGCAATTTAATGAGGCCCTAAGCAACTTAGTATGACCCTGTCTCAAAATAAAAAAAAATAGAAAGGGCTGGGGATGTGGCTCAGTGGTTAAGTGCCCCTGGGTTAATTCACTGGTACCCCACAAAAAAATCTTTGAAACCCTACTTTTAATTCTTTTGAGTTTATACCCAGGAGTTAAATTGCTCAATCATTTGGTTCACTTTTGAAGAACAGTTTTGCCAGACATAGAATTACTGACTACTTGGATTTTTCTTTTGGAAATTTAATATACAAGCCCACTTGCCTTTGGGGCTCCAAAGTTTCTGGATTGTAAATCCACTAATAATCATATTAAATCCCCTTATAAATGACAAGTTATTCCTTCCTTGCTGCCTTTAAGATTCTTTGTTTTTGCCTTTCAGAATTTTATTATTATGTGTCTTGGTGTGAGTATCTTTGAGTTCATCTTTCTAAAAGTTAACTGAGCTTCTTGATGTTTATATTCATGTTTTTCATCACGTTGGGAAGTTTTCAGCCATTATTCTTTAAATATTATCTCTTCCTTCTTTTCTTGTCTAGAACACCTTAAATGCATATTTGGTGTGCTAGATTGTGTCCTACAGGTCCCTGGGAGACTGTTCACTTTCTTTAGTATCTTTTCTTTTGTTCCTCTGATTTAATAATTTCCTCTGACCTATCTTCAGGTTTACTGATTCTTTCTTAAATCTGTTCTAGTCCATTCTATTCACTGATTCCCTCTACTGAATTTTTCATTTCTGTTTTTCTCTTTGGTTTCTTTTTGGCTTTTCTATCTTTTCATTGAAATTTCTGTTTTGTTTACATGTCATTTTCTGAACTTTTCCTATATTGTTCTTTAGTTCTTGGAGTAGCTTAAAGGCAATTGTTTTAAAGTCTTTGTCTAGTATATCTCTCATCAGATCTTTTTACAGAACAGTTTCTTTTGTCTTATTTTTCCATTAAATGGACCATACTTTCCTGTTTCATTGTATGCCTTGTGACTTTTTGTTAAAATTTTGACATTTGAATCTAATAATGTGCAACTCTGGAAATCAGAATCTGCCCCCACCTTGCCCAGAGTTTTCTGGATTTGTTATTTATTTTATTCATTTGAGGGAAAAAAATTAATTGCTGCAAGATATTTCTGTGTCAAGATAAGTTTGAGGTATAAACTTAGGTCTTTGCCTGTCTTTTTTGAACTAGTGCCTTTCCCTAGGTATCATTGATTACTTTCTAATTAGTTCCTTTTAAATGTTCTAGTTCTTAATCTCTGACTCCAAAAAGGGGGAAAAATGAAAAATAAAAGAGGGACTAGACCCTCCAAGGCTGAAATTACATCAGTAGATGGCAAAGGGCTTATAGCAATGGGGAGGTAAAACAGAAATGGCTGCCGGTGTCTGTGGACCTCTGTGATCAGAAGAAGCAAATAGCACACAGATCCTGTCTATCTGGGGTCTTCTCTGATTTTGCGACCCTCACAACCTGTGTCCAAGCCTCTCTGTGGGCTGAGACTGTGACAGCTGTCAGCCATGGAGCTGGTGCTTGGAGATAGGCAGCTGCTACCATGCTAAGAGCTGTACAATTTACTGTTTGAGCCTTTCTCTGAAAGTTGTGAGCCTCAACGAACTCCAGAATAGGAACATCATATAGATTCTGTCAGTGTAATTCTTACCCAGGTATGGGAGGAGATTACCAGTGCTTCCTAATTAGCCATCATCCTACAATCCTCTCACTCTCTTCCCCAAAAGTATGCTTTAAAAGGCTTTCTCTGGTTGCTGTGAGCAGGAGAGTAAAGTTAAGGAGATTGAGATGATTCCAGTATCAGTTAAGAAATAATGATGGTGATTTAGAACAAATCATAATAATGAAGGTGGTAAGATGTGTTTGATTCTGTACATATGTTAGGCAATTTTTTCATAATTTATGACCATTGTGTAGTTTCTGGCTACAGTGAGATAAATAGACTATCCCACATGACTCCTGATTATTGCTCCAGGTACCAATTTTTCAGCCCAAGATTTCACCTATTGCTACACATAGGTTGGACCACTCACATATTTACAAAATGTATAAAATGCAGCTGGTATTTTTATCCTACTGGCAGGCATAGGATCATTATATAATATGGCTTCCCATATTTCTACACAACACACACACACACACACACACACACACACACACACATATTCTGTTTACCTCCTTCTTCAGACTTAATGAAACTGATTAATTCCTGACAGAGAATGTAATTGAAACACAAGTTTGTTTTGCAGAAGAAAGGTAACCGATATTTTTCCAACCAGGTCAATAGTCCTTTGTATTTGGCAATCTAGAGAAAAATCAAAATAACAACAGAAAGATAAATGAAATTTAACAGTTAAGAAATGCTGCTTAGCAAGTGGTGATAAATAACCTCACACTTGGCAATATCTGACTAGAAGTAGAGGTGTGTTGATTAAAAATCCTAAGTTCAGTGGAAACACAAGATGAAGCTCCTAAAGAAATGTATGGACCCGTATGGATTAACAAGTTTGGTCTTTCTTCAAAAATTCTTCCATATTTCTGGGTGAATTTCTTCCAGAAAAGATCTAAATCTTGGTTTACAGAAAAGGTCTCAGTTTATGGTGTCAGGTCATAAACTCTATTTAACTACTCTATTTAACTTGTTTTGTAAACACACGTTAATTCTTACAAGCCTCCACCCTTATCAATTGTACAACATGTACAAAAACACATGCAGACCATTTAGAGTACAGAAGGGATCCCTGAAGGATCCGCTGGAAGAGGGAGGACAGATTTTAACAATTTAAGCTTCATAGTTATTTTAGGGAAACCAAATGTAAGAATTGGAGTAGGGTATCTTCTCTTAGTAACTCAGAGAAAAACAAGGCTTATTATGAGCAGGGCTTAGAGTGACTTTTCTGATCCACAAACCACTGGTAACGCACATGGAAGCCACTGGCTGATCTAAGTCTTGGGAAGAAGAGAGGGAAAACAAGGAGAAGAGAAAGACAATCTAGAAGGAAAAGGAAAAGAAATACATGAAGAGAAAAAAGATGAAGAGGAAAAACTTGCCTCTGGAAGAGAACTGCAGATTGGCACCTTACCTTGATCTGTATCTGATAATGTGTATCTGATCCTACCTGTGTGGACTAGAGATGGTCACATCGTATCCCACCCAAAGCAGCCATTGTCAATCAATTCCTGGGCTCTTTTTGCTTAAATGTGGCTCAAGGTTTTTCTCAGCATAGTATTCCAAACGTCTACTATCCCCAATCACAGTAGACATGAGAGATGAATTCCAATTGCTAATAATGGACTAGAATATAAAGGAAAGAATTCACCAGAAATTGCTTGCCCGAGGTGAGAGTGTAAAAGGTTTACCTGGCTTGATGCTGTTTTTTCTACTCACCTGCTTTCTGGTTTCTTACACTCGTTCTCTAATCTCCTTCTTCCCTTCTCTCTCCCAATCCATGCTTCAAATACAACTCTCTCTCTTCCTCGGCCCCAAACCCTCTGCCATCCTAGGCTCCTACTCACCAAGTCGCGAGGTATTTCTGGCCACAAGTTCCACTGTGATTTTTCAACAAGATAAAATGGGGTCTGACCAAAGACCTGTAAAAGAAAGCTAGGAAACAGCCAAAGAGCAAGAGCTTCTCTTCATATTCATGACATGCTCCTGCGGCCACAGAGGAAGAGAGGCTCTGCTGTCTTCCCATTTGAAGACACATTAATTCTTAAATTTGCAACACGGGATCAACTTACCCTGCACAAAAGACTTTGAATAGAGAGAATTGCAATATTCATTCATCTTTTGACTGCATCCTGCTTGGGCCTGGGGGCTATTGCTTATGTGCAAAGCCAAAAGCCCTTGATATGAGAACATGTTACGCTGTGGGTTGCATCATCCCCTTCCCTCATGAACTTAGAGAGCTCAAGCCAAGTTCTAAAACCTTTTCCTAATGAGAAGTAGCTTTGGATTTACCTAAACTCTTGAACTGGAGAGAGTAGAGAGGACTGAAGATATGAGGAGGACTAGGGGTAAAGATTACATGCTGAGGCTGTGAGAGCATCAATTCTAAGCTACTATTCTCTGTTGTCGAGCATGGGGGAAGGATTATCATCCAGGAACTGATGGGAAAAGGCTTCTATGCTTGTATCACAGGGAAACCATGGGAATTAAATGGTAGACATGTTGACAGGAGTGTTTGACACGAAACACGACTGTCTCTCCGTACACCACAGCTGCCCACATGGCCAGGACTTCATCTTACACCCTTGGCTGGAATGCCACCTTCCCACATCACTCTGTTTCTAGAAACTTGTCTTCATAAATTGGGTGATTAATGTGTCTTAAGATTACTTAGGTCCCAGCAGCTCAAGAGCCTGAGTCAGGAGGATGGCAAGTTCAAGGCCGGCCACAGAAACTTAGGCCCTAAGCAATTTAGTGAGACTCTGTCTCAAAATAAATAAATAAATAAAAAGGGCTAGGATGTGGCTCAGTGATTAAGTGCCCCTGGGTTCAATCGCCGGTACAAAAAAAAAAAAAAAAATTGACTCAGGAAAGCTTTCATTAAGACAGTGGCAAAGGCATTAGCGTGTGTGAGGATCACATGGAGATCCCTCTTCCTCCTCCCTCCTTTTCAAATCCTGTTGGCCGCTGCCACCTTACTTTCTCTCCTCTGTCTGTGAGGCCTTTTCTTGCTACTCAACCCCCTAGTCTTTCCCCTCACTTCTTTATCCATCCCTCCTGCTCCACCTTCTGCCCCCAGTCAGTTCTCAGATATCCACTCCTAAGATTTGGCTTGGTCAGCTTCTCCTGACTCTTCAGGAAGAATGGCCTCCCTGCTCCATGCACTCTCCAGCTGCCTCCTAAAAGTCTCCATTACATCACTCATATCTTAAATACTAGTCTCTCACTTTAGACTGGGAGCTCCTTGAGGACAGGGATGGCGCATTAATATGTACATCCCCAAAACTAATCCCAGTGGCTGGTACAGAGTAACCACTCAGCAACTGAGATAATACAGTGGTTTCTCCACTTGTCTGAAATTTCACCTTTTAACAGATGACATCCAGTGGGAAAGGGCGTTCACTAAGATGAACAACAATTTATAAGATGCCAGCATTAAAATGTCATCAAAAATTTAATCCAAAAAAGATGTAGGATGAGCCCAGGGTTTGGGTTTGAGTTGGATTTTGACGTTTGTCTAAGTTACATAGCCCGAGGACATACAGTTTGGTTTTAGTCCACAACTTAAAGGCTGCATGCTAAACACCTGGTAAGGGGAGTAGAACAGAATGAATAATCCTTAGTCCTTGTCCTGAGGGAATTCACAATCTCACACTCCAGGGGGACACAGACCTGTGTACACAGGCAACACAAGACAGCTGCAAGTTGCCAAGGGGAACAGAGGCAGGAGAAGTTCCCCCAGGAGGTCCCAGTGTGAGGGCCTAGGAATTCCCTAAGAAGAACAGAATTTAAGCTGAGATTGGAAGAGAGGTTTGGAGGTGGGGGATGGTGGGTGCACTCAGCCAGTGTAAAATGGCGGTCACTAGAGCACTGGGGATCAGCAGCTGATGTGAGGGTAGGTGACTCTGGACAGTTAAGAGGCAGTTAAGGAGGCTGAGCCTTGAAAACTTGGGTGTATTCATATTAGGGAGCTCCCGGAGATTGCAGAGGGGATTCTGGTTCATATTTATTGGCTCAAGTTGGAAAAGTTTGCATTTGATAAGGAACTTAGTAAACAACAAAATAACAAAAGGGCACTGAGCTCAGTGAGGTTTATTATTCAGCTGTCAATAAAACATTTGAACTTAAGTCTGACAATGCTTACCGGGAGAGAAAGAAACGTATTGAAAAAATCGGCAAAGATTTCATCCTCCAGCAGAATTATAAGATTTGTAGAACAGAGTATCTCTGTTTGTGGAGAGAGAAAACAAAACAAAACAAAACCCATGACCAGGACTGCATTCATGTTGGGAAAACAAGATAATTTCCCATGGCTGAATCTCAGCCCGATGACCTCCATTAGGGTCATCCACTCGGCTTCCCCTTCTCCAGGACTCTCCCATGTCACCTGCTTATATACTCCCAGCTGAGGGAGCGCACAGCCTCACAGGGCTGCCCATTCCATTTGTGAAGAGAGAAAACATTAGGAAGATTTTTCTTACAGTGAACTGCCTTCTATTTTGGGAAATTCTACAATTCATCCCAGTCCTCTTACATAAGACAGCGCTTCCAATATTTATAAAGACATCACAGCCTCGGGCTTACTTCCAGCCTCTCTGCCTGGTCACTAAGTTCTTCAGCCTGTTCCTCCTCATGTGGCCTCCTTTCATCAGGCTCCTCTCTCACGGGTGGGAATGGCACCCACAACCCAAGCCCTGCAGTTGCTTCCCAGGGCAAAGGAGAAGTGAACTATTGCCCATGTGGCATGTTGCATTCATGGGGCCTGAAACGCAGCCAGCTTGGGAGCTCTCACACTGCACCACTAGCTCCACCACACTTTATTTAATAGAATCACTGCCAGAAACCAGGGGCAGGAATTTACTCGTGTTGCAGTCAAATTTCAGCTGGTTAGTTTGGGCCCAGCATTACAAGCTGGTAAGAGCTTTCCTGAATCTTGGTTTGGTGGTGCCATGTATTTATTAAATTCTCAGGTTTGATTATTATTTTGTCTAAGTTAGTCAGAGGATATATTGAATGTCAAGAAAAACTAAACATGGAGACCCTCAGTGGACTAGGGACCTAAGTGTATTCCAATTCATTGTTCTACACTCTTTAGAGCCCAATGTTCAACTAGTGAGTAATAAGATAATTGGCAACTAATGGGCCATATCCATCATACCCAAAGTTCATGATAAAAGACTATAAAACCAACAATCGAAATCTGGTACAGTGGACTATCAGTCTAGTTAAGGGTTTGGTGAGGTGGGTGCCACCCTCCACCGTCACTACAGTGCAGTTTTGATAACATGAGAAGACCATTTACCTCCATCACCTTTCCTGATAACACCAAGTGATCAAGGCCTTTCAATAATAGAAATGGAAACCCAGACAATCAAACGCTACTATGAGCAGGGAGCTGAGGCCACTCTTGCTTTCTGTTCTACAGATAATCTCCCCCCCCCCCCCCCCGCCTTTAGTGCTGTCCACATGTTTGCCTTTCCCATTTCTTCATTCTGTGTTTCCATTTTCTTCTGTATTTCACATGAACTTTCTTGGGTCTCCCTCACCAGCTCTCTGCTCTTCTTTTTATGAGCATTCTCTGGCTGATTTATCCTATGACACATAAATTATTCCAAAATTTGAGTTCTTGGCCCAGACTTCTCTCTTTGGCTCTAGTTGTAAATATCCAATGAGCTGTGGAACTTCTCTACCTACATATCCATAGCAACTCCAAAATGTTCAAAGTGTCCAGGTTCCCAACATGCCCCCTTTCCTATATTCCCAGTCTCAGTTACTGTAATCATCACTTATTCAGTTATCTACATCCAGAAAACCGAGATTCATCTTTTCTCCTCTCTCCTTCTCTCTTGCTCCATCTCTCTTTTCTTTACCCCACCACCTTCAATGGTGGTCTGTTCCATGGTTTCTCCCCTGAATTTACTTCTGGAATCTGGTTCCATAGGGTCATTCTCTTATTTCAGATGTTTATCATCTCTCTCTCAGACTACTGCATCAGTCTTCTATGGTTTCCCTAGTTCCAGTCTCTTCCTTCCTCACTCATGCACTGCCACCATATTATGTTGATGTTACTATTTTTAAAACTCTTCAAAGTCCCCTCAATGTCCTAAGGTAAAGTCTAAGTGTCGGAGCTTCACCCTGTCTGACTTTTGCTTCCTAGGCTCATCTCCCACCACTGCACACCATGCCACCTCCCTTTTCCAAGCCAAAACCAAGGCACTGTTATTTCCTGAATATGGTAGATACTCAAATTTCAAACTCCATGTCTTTATTCTCACCTTCCCATTGCCTAAAATGTCCTTTCAACTCTAGTCAGCTTCACAAATGACTAGATACCCATCAAGAACTGATTTACATATTATCTTGGTGACCAAGAATGGTAGACTCTACCACAGTGGTGGAACACAATGACAATCGACAAGCCATGTTGTTTTGTCCATTGATGTATCTTCCTCCTTTGAGTCTCTGGGAGGAGCGACTTGGTCTTCTCATCCTGTCCTAGGCACTTAAAATGTTCGCACATTATCCAAGTCTGTAAATGCTGCACGATTTATTCTTTCAAGAGCTGATCTTTAATCTTCTGGGATTTGTTTGTTTCTCTGTAATTTATAAAGCCTAATTTGCATTTCCTGAATAAGTATGTTATTGAGACTGTCTTGCAAGCAGAACAGTGGGGTTTGGCAGAAATTTCTCAATGGATCGTTTTCCTTGTCTACATACACTTCTGGTATCCAGAGAGGCTTTAATGGTAGGGCTCACCACTCATAAAGTAGTCTTATCGAGGTAAGGGAACAAGGCTGCCCACATTTGCCTTCCCATTTTCTTCATTCCTTTTTTGCCATTTTCTTCTGTTCTGGATTCAGACTTCCTAATAATTGGAGAAGGGCTTTTGTGCTCATTCCAAATCATAATATTGACTTGGTGTGAGAAATCACTGGATGATCCCAAACCCCTTGCAAGCCGTCTCCCTGGAGGAGGTAAGGCACATGGAGGGCCAAGCTATACTTGACTCTCTCCTCTAGGCTTAGTTGTCTCATGAACAAGGCCCTGTCCTATCCTTAACATCTAGTAGCAGAAGTAGGAAGGGGCAGGAGAGAAAGAGGAGGAAAACAAAGGGCATGACTGCCATACGGGTCACTTGTGGTACCCGCAATGATGACTCCAGCGAACTGGGAAGGCAAGTGGTTTGCCTCGAGGGCTCAGTCTTGGAGACCTCTCTCTCAGACACTCACCAGTGTTGCTCATGTTGCCTCGCTTCTCCTGCCACTGTGATTGGTTATAAACAGAATTAGCCTGTCGTCAACAGCAACCCACCCCTTGTGAACACACAGTGACACTTCTGAGGAGTTCCAGGTTCCATTGGCGGGGGCCTACTTATATCTGATGGAGACCATCATCTGAAGGTAAGTTTTTTTTCTTACCTGATTTTACAGATTCCTTTGAATGTACCAGAATCATCCTGGACTTGGTCCACGCTCTTTTGTGTGCATTGACAGGTTCTTTCTAAGTGTGTCCAAGCCCTCTTCAGTACTCCATCCTTTCCTACCTTATGGTGATATTTTTGCATGACTCACTTCAGTTCCCACGGACCTATAAACTGTTATACTAGAGGTAATTGTAATAAGCAATGTCTCCTGGATGTTCTGCACCCTTAAGACAACTTTCAAAGGACTTGACCTTCCTTGTCTCTGAAAGGTTTTGAGGGAGATGCTTGATCTTTTCATCCACTCTTTGTTTCTCTGATAAAAGTGAAAGACCATCAGCCCTATAAACCCTAATAATTTAGGCAGAAACTTTTTTTCCCAAACTTTTGAGAATGGAGTTGTTTAATGTTATAATTATGAGAGGACTTAAAGAACTCTATAAAGTTCTAGAATTGTTGGGAAGCTCATATAATGCTTAAATCCTTGTTCCATGGGGCAGGGAGGGAGGCAGAATAAGTTATTTTAAAAATGAGAAGAGATTCTTCTTGATGTTTTACTTGTTGCATGGGCTCATTGTGGTCTCTTCCAAAATTAATGGTGCACACAGTAGCGATATGTATTCGTATTCTGTGAGATGGTATGCTCCCAGGCTGGTCTTCAACTAAGCTGTGTGAAGCTATTCTCTAGCCCTAAGTGCTGCCCACCACATTCCCCACAGCTCAAAAAGGCTAACTGTTGGAGACATTAACAACCAAATGATGGTCACACCAACAATAGTAAGGTCAAGAAGCCCACATTCCTGGCTAGAGGCTTGAAGTACATAATGATTGCGTGTCCCTGTGACCTTTTTAGAACATTTTAGTTCCCAAAAGAGGAGTACCAGATGTATCCCAAATTTATGTGATAATAAGAATTATGGGGGCACTTGTTAAAAACATAAATTACCAGGTCCTTCGCCTGGAAATTCTGTTGGAAGGACTAGGTTGAGCTCAGGAGTCTATGTGTTTTACAAGTACCCCAGATAATTACTGTTTTCAGGAAAACCTGGGAAACAATGTTTTTAAAATTAGATAGACCTGACTTCACATCTCAGCTGTGAGATTTACTAGATGTATCAGATTCAAGTTGAAATGATTTCCCAAAATACTGAGGGTCTTCTTACTCCAGGAGTTACTTTGAAAATGGTAGCAGATCTCTTTGGCAAATATTAGGAAACAGTAACAGTAACACTTGCAAAAATATGACTTTTCTTCCTCAGGGTAAACATGCTTTCTTTTGAGAGCTTCTAGGGTCTTGACTCACAGCTGCAAAATAGATACTGGACCTGATTCACTGTCACCATGGCTTCTTTCAGTTTCCTATTTGTTAATTAATTCCCTATTTATTGAGCACTTCCCTGTATGACGGAAAGTTTTCTAGATGTTTTGGATGTGTCCGTGAGTAAATCAGTCAAAAATACTTACCTTTATAGAGCTACTATTCTCCACTGAGCTTCCCATTTTCCTCCTCAAGATGAAAAGTTCTGAGTGGAGGGTCTGGTTGCTGGCCCTTACTACCAGGGCCAGGAGGGGGACTATCATACTCCCTGTGGCATCCACAGTAGGAGACAGTTCTTGAAAGTCACACAGTGATTTTTTAAATACCAAAATAGAAAGGGTAGTCAGAGAGTGAGTGACCCAGAGGTTTTGAGACACACACACACACACACACACACACACATCTATCTTATAGATTGAATTCTGTGCTTATTCATGTCTACACATTTGAGCCTAATAGGAAACAGATGCAGGTGATGTTTACTGATTGCTTATGTGCTTTTCCTGCTTTCCTCCCCATCCCTCCATCACTTCCCTTAAATTGATAAAATTCAATACCAAATGGAGACGAAGTGCCCCTTCCAGTCTCATGTGGAAATGGCTCCCTCTGGTGGATGGTGGGAAAGACTACATCTTTCTCTCCAAAAAGTACTCTAATTTGGAGACTTTGATTTTTGTTTTTCCCCAAGTTAATCTTCAGCTGGTTTTTCTTTCCCAAGTGTTTAGGATTAATTTCCATGTGCTCATACCTAATTAACACAAGGTACACAAAAACCCTTATCATTAGAACAGTAGGCCCGCCTATTCTGCCACTGTATCGGATGTTGGCTATGGTTCTTTGTGGCTTTGAGACCCCTGCCAATACTGCTAATATTTAGCATTTTTCCCTGAAGGTATATGTTTTGAGACATAATAATATTTGGGGGCATCAATTTTCTACAAGCGATGAATTCATCAGTTATTTAAAAGAACTTTAAAAGCACTAAAAATGGGATAGTTCTTCAGCTTCTGTATCCCTTCAACTGTCATCTTCACAGGGAATAAAATCTTGAAATACTAATATTAAGTCCTTGCTTCTCATCCCTTGTATGTGGCTTTTCTCCTGTTTAGTCAGAAATTTCAATTCATGAAGAGGTTGGGTTGTATTAGCAAGAGTAAATTTTTTTAAAGTTTAAAAAAATCCAAAATATGCTCTTCAGATTTAAAGCCGGGGGGTGGAGGGTGGGGAGGGAGGGAGGGAGACTTGAGTGAAGAAGAAAATAGAGTTTTTGTCATTTCAATAAGAAAGAAAGAAGAGAGGACAAGCAGATCTCCTGTCACCCCAGTTTCAAGGCACCAGAGGATGATCAACCAGGACAGAGGAGGGGAGCTATGAGGCTGGGCCAAGGCCTGGGAGGATGTCCAAGATGCGGGGGAACAAGGCATGGGAACCAGAGGTGACAACCAGGAAGAAGGCAGAGCCCCATTGGTTCCTAGGATGAGGGGGAAGCATAGAAGCTAACTTATGTTTTATTTCCACACCTGGGTCCTCTATTAGTCTCCATTGGACAGGAATGTGGTTGCCTGATGATCCCAGTTTGCAGGTATGAACCATCCATGGAGCTGGTCACATGCCACATGACCAGCACATGCTAAGACCTGGCTGAGTCTTATCTAAAGATCCCAGATTCCTTCCCCCTCCACAATAACAGGCTGCTCACAGCCCCCCAAACCACAGGGTGAAGATCCTTCACAACAACTCACTCCTTTTGCACCCTAAGTTTTGAACAAGAAAATTAACAAGGAAGTGTAGGACCAGAACCAAAGGACACATCTATTCTCCCAGGAACCAAAAGAACAAAGGACATGGGAAGGATGGTGAATGCTCTGGAATCCCTGCCCCTGACCCAGCCCTAGCCCCACTTTGTCCTGACCAGATGCTTTACACTTAGCCATGAGTGAGGAAAACTTGATAAAGTCTTGATAGCCTGTGGTTCCCAATAATTTTGGCTCTACCCTTCACAATTCCAGCCTCCCTGACACCCAGCAATGGCATTGTGTGACACAGAAAAATGTCTAGCCTCCTTAAGCTACTTTCTTAACCCTTTTGAGTTTTAGATAATATTCACCTACAAACTTCACTGACAGGAGAGCTGTGAGGATAAAAAAAAAAGCATCAGGGGCTGGGGATGTGGCTCAAGCGGCAGCGCGCTCGCCTGGCATGAGTGCGGCCTGGGTTCGATCCTCAGCACCACATACCAACAAAGATGTTGTGTCCGCCAATAACTAAGAAAAAATAAATAAATATTAAAATTCTCTCTCTCTCTCTGTCCCTCTCTCTCACTCTCTCTTTAAAAAAAAAAAGCATCAAGAAGAAATAAGTCATTGGATTTTATTATATAGGAGAATCAGAAAAGAGTGGGTCCTGGCAAATCTACTACTTGGAACTTGGTTCCCAAGTGTGCAGAGCAGTGGGTGCCATGCCTGGAGGGAGAGTCTGACAGTACTGGAGGAGGCAGTGGGGGGAGAACCCCTGGAGGCAGTGGAGCCCTTGGAGCCTTCTCTGTGAGTAGGGTGCTGCTCTGTTCTTCTAGATCTCACTGAGCAAGAAGCTGCAAAAGGGTCTGACTTTCTGCTTGATAAATCACAAAGTAATCAAAATAAAGAACTCAAAATGAGTTCTGAATTCTATTTAGTCAAAATATGATTTCATAGTATCATCATGAAAGAGATCCAGAACCAGAAAGAATGAACGTGGTTATTATGTTGGGTAAATTATTATTATGTACTAAATTTGACTGTGGTGAATATTCCATGTGGTGGAGTGAGGGATATTTGTAAAAAGTTTCAAAAGCAGGATATAGAAAATTTCTTTAATGTTCTCATGGGAGGGGAGTCAGCGATACAGAGAGGTGCAGGGCAAGCAGGTACCGTAGCTGGAGCTGAGGAGGGAAACGCCTGGGGAGTTGAGAGAGGAGGTCTTAGTGGCAGGACTCTTATTCTGTTCACCTTTCCGCTATGCACTGTTCAAACAAGGCTGAGGGAAGCCAGAAGGGAGAGGGTGCACGTCCATTCCAGCAGAGTCTGCAGCTTCAAGGTAGGACCCCCATGAAGGAAGGACACCAGGTTCTGCTTCCTGGCCGCTCACCTCTCACAGCTTCTCATCCAGACATCTTGGAGTGTGAAGGCCACAGGGCACCACCAGGGGGCGCATCCAGGTTCAGTCTTTAATAAAAATGTAGCAATACCACAAAAAAGAGAAGCCATAGATCCAGATCATCAAACTGGCATTGAAGACCACATGCCAGCAGAAGAAAGTGGTGGCAAAGGCTATGTCATTTTTGTCATCATCCATCCATTTATAGCCAGAGATTGGCTTGAACAACATAAAGCCTATCTGTACCAACCAAGAGCCTGTGATCATGTACAAAAAGGCCTTCATTGTCCATATCAGCATGGCATTGGGAGCCCAGAGCTCTGCAGTCACTACCACCGTTAGCAGGAACATGGCCTGGGTGAGCAGGATGTGAAACTGCAGTTCTACTCCTTCTGTGTCCTGCATGTGAGACACCATCAGGGGCAGAAACAGAAAGATGCCCAGGGCTTGGGTGCCTTGCTCCAGAGCCACACACCTCTGGGGCATCAGGTTCTGGCTCACCGTATCTGCACACCCCGTCAGGAAGAAGGTCAAATAGAGAGTGAGGTGCTGCCACTGTTTGCGGTACAGAAAGTCTCTCTGGTGATACATCTTGCTGATAAGAACCAGCTGTCCGTGCACGCTGTTCAACTCTTGGGCTACTAAAATGAAGGCGCTTAGGATCTTCATGGGGCCAATGTAATAGATCTGCCGTAGCCTTGCCCATCTCCCTTGGTCCCAAGGGCGACATGGTGGATATTGGACACGGGAGTTGCAGATGAAGGCCCTAGAGACGAGCTGTGCCTGGTAAAGTCCATAGAGGAACAGAGACAGCCCTGGGTACAGATGACCCTCAAAGCCTCCCATGGCACTGAAGACAGGCGGGTGAGCCCAGAGGCAGAAGCCAAATGTTCAGGGATGGCCTTTCTCTCAGGGCCCTGGAGTGTGGAGGGACCCGGGTGAAGCTTATATTGCCCACCCATCCCACCACATCCACATACAGAGGGGAAGTGGTTGTGGAGGAGGGCCTAACAGTTGGGGTGGGTGTCTTGGTTTCCGTCCTGGCCTTCTGCTGTGGTTCACTGATAACCACCTAACCGTTGACAGTGAAATGAGCCCGTCCTCCAGCACAAGGCCAGGCCTCTGCATGGTCGAATCCTTGCCTCTCCACCCGCTGTCCTTGATCCCAGTGCCACCTTCCTTACTCCCCTCCTCTTAAGTCTGTTCAGGCTACAAAATAATAGATACTATCAACGATACCAGTATCAAAATACCACAAACCGTGTCGCTTATAAACAACAGAAGTTTATTTCTCACATTTCTGGAGGCTGGAAGTCCAAGATCAAGATGCCAGCAGATTTGGTGGCTGGTGAGGACCTGCTCCCCCACGGATGGCTCTTTCTTGCTGTGTCCTCACACTGTAGGAGAGACAAGCTGTTCACTGGGCTCTTTTATGAGGGCACTAATACCATTCAAGGGGGTTCTGCCCTCGTGACCTAATAACCCCCTAAAGGTCCTACTTCCCAATACCATATCTGGGGGTAAGGATTTCAATAAATGAATTTGGGGGAACACAAAATTCTGATCACAGCACCTCCAAATTCACAGGACATAAGGAAGAACCCAAAGAAGGCATAGCAAACACAAAATGTAGGGCACAGTCCTTAAGATTCCTTACATGTTGTTGTTAGATTATGTATTCTGTACACGTATGAATGTGTAACAGAAAATCCCAGCAGCATCTACAACTATAATGCACCAATAAAAAACTGGGAAGAATAAAAGATTCTTTACCATATAACCTTGTACAAACATGATGTCCGCATGCAGTCCTCTAGATATAGACCTTTGTAAGAGCCACACATGAATCTATGGAGTGCCCAATTATCCTGATATAATCTCAAGATTGCCAGAAAAATGTTCATTCCTAAGAATGTCTCTTTGCTGATCTCCAGAGAGAACCTGGATGCTACCATCTGAGATTCCTTCCTTTGAATTAAAGCAATGTTCTTCCAAGTTAAAATGCAGATGGATGGGTTCTACTCAGAACTCTTAACTCAGAATTTCTGAGGGTGGTGTTCTGCAATGAGCATTTCAGTAAGCACCTGAAGGTGATTCTTCTGGAGGCAACGTGTCCTACACGTTAGACACCACTGGGGACATCTAAATTTTCAGATGCACAGAGCAAAATGTTAAGCATTGGTGAGAAAGAAAGCTCATTAAGCTAGTAACTAATTGTGAATTCGTTTTCAAATATTTCTCTTTTGAAATTTGCATTTATGGGCTGGGGATGTGGCTCAAGCGGTAGCGCGCTCGCTTCGCATGCGTGCGGCCCGGGTTCGATCCTCAGCACCACATACCAACAAAGATGTTGTGTCCGCCGAGAACTAAAAAATAAATATGAAAAATTCTCTCTCTCTCTCTCTCTCTCTCTCTCTTTAAAAAAAAATTTGCATTTATTTAGAATGTAATGGTCATATTATGTTTCATGACAGCCAACCAAGTATAGGGGGTATCTCAAATTTTGTTTCACATAGATCTTACATATTTCCATTTTTGTTGGTAAACTATGTTTTTATTTTTGCTGCTGTAAATAGATCTATTTTATTTTATAATTATTATTGATATAAGAACCTATAATTTTGTATTGATCTTCATATTAATCATTTTGTCAGGCTGTCATAGTTCTAATTTTCAAATAACTTTATATAGTCATATCATCTGCCAAGAAAAACATTATCTCCTTTTAGATATGCTTTTGCCTTTCTTTTGTATTTTCTGTATGTTCCTATATACAAAGTTCAAAAACATGCAAAACTAAATAACAAAAAGTGTGTAACTCTAATCAAAATTCAGGAGAATGGTTACTTCTGAGAGGGGAAGATAAGAAAGACTTGAGAGGAACACAAAAAACATTGAAAATAATGAGAATGTTTTTCTGGTCTTGGAGTTAGGGTGTACATAGGAGTATTGTGTCACAACTTATGTGTCCTATAAATGCTATTACACACTCAGTATTAAAATTTTAAATAAAGAAATAAGAGAACTAAGTAGCACTATGTGGGTGAGTGAGACTCAATATCCGACAAGTCTACTTTAAGGTGAAGAGTTTGGAAGATAACTGTAGAGGGGCTTCTTCAAATGCTAAAGTGATGTTTATTTTTATTTTTTTGTACCAGAGATTGAACTCACAGATACTTAACCGTTGAGCCACATCCCCAGCCCTTTTGAATGTTCTATTTAGAGACAGGGTCTCGCTGAGTTGCTGAGGCTGGCTTTGAACTCACCATCCTCCTGCCTCAGCCTCCAGAGCCACAGGGGATTACAGACATGCACCACCTTGCCCAGCTAAAATTTTATCTAGATCATCAACTCCTATTATATGTATTATTCTATGACAAGCTTTTCTTCTTTCTCTGTCAGTCATATAATGTGTTGGAGAAAGAATTATTTTGTTACACAGAGGTGCTTTTTATTTAATTTTTTTTCTTTATCCAGATCCTTATTGGTAGACATATTAGTCTTTTTCTCCTTCAGGAACATTGGTGAGTGAATTTTCTTCTTAGGGTTGACAGCCATAAGTGAAATTTCCAGGTCATGGACTGTGTTAGTCAGCTCTCGTCACTATAATAAATACCGGAGTCCCACCAACTTCCAATAGCGCCACAGGCTGGGGACTTAGCCTTTAACATAGAGGCCTTGGGGAACATTCCGGATCCAAACTGCAGCATAAACTGTTCTGTTTTTGTTGGTTTGTTTGAATAGATAGTGACAAACCTCCCCTCACAGTGGGATACTGATTTTTCACTTGCCCTCGTGACCTTTAAATCAGTAAGTTCTCTGGATTCTCCTTCCCAGCAGATCTTCCAGGGGTTCCCTCCACTCCTACCCGCTTTCCTTGCTCAGGCATCAGCAATTCGGCCCTCCTGAAAGGCCTCCCATCAAGGTTCCAATCCTCCTCTATTCCCACCCCACTGCAGCCAGGTGACCTTTGGGACAAGGGAACTAATCATTCCATTGGCTAATTTCAATTCTCCAGTGGAATCCCACTGCCTCAGAGGCAAGATTTGTGCCCTTAGTTTTGTGCTTAGGCCTGGTCTCATTCCAGCCCCTCTCTACATGTACCAGAAGCTCTAGTTCAGCCTGGATTGGTCTTCCTGTTCCCCATCCATTCTCTACCTGGGAAACGTACTCTTCCTCATTTTTCCTTTGAGCCTCGGTTAAAGATGGCCTCCTCTCCACTGGGCAGGGTACTTTTCTGTACAAAATAAACACATCTCAATCATTATATTTTCCAAGCCATGGTTTGTTTGCTAGAAATGTTTAAAGTCAGAGACTATATCTTACTATTTTTTTAAATTTAATCTATCCCTGTGCCTGGCAGTGCTCAATGCCTGTCTGATAGATGCGTGAGTAAATTAGTGCAATATCAGGTGAACACAAGGTCTCTACCATAAAGGACTTTCTAATCTAGTTATGAAGACAAAACAGACACATACAAAAGATGTCAGGTCACTAATGCTAAGTGCTAAGTGACAAACGAGTGGAACAAATGACTAGAGCCATGGGATTAAAAGAGAGATCTCATCCTAACTGTACAAGTCAGGGCAAATATGACCATTCACAGTTAATGGCTGGAGAAACTCTAACATGTAAATTCAGATCTTATCTTTGGTCCCATTGTCTATGGGCACAGAGAGGCAGAATGAAAGGGTGTGGTTGACCTGGCATAATTTTAACTTCTCAGCAGAAATACAGACATTCTTGCATAAACCAATGTTTTTCAACACTTTTTTTGTTTTTTTTTAATTGTTGCATAATAATTGTACAGAATAGTGGATTCCACTGTGGCTTATTCATACACTTATATAACATAACTTGATTAATTGCACTCCTCAGTACCTCCCCTTGCCTTCCCCTCCACCTTTTCCTAGACCCCTTCCTCTACCCTAATAGTCACCCTTTTGCTTTTATGATGTCCTTCTGTTACTTGTCCAAGTGTCACTTATTTTGCATAACATGATAATCTCCAGATCCATCAATTTTCCTGCAAATGGTACAATTTTATTCTTTAAGAAGGAATTCAACTCCATTGCATATTTGTGCCACATTTTCTTTATCCAGTCATCTGTAGATGGACACATAGGATAATTCTATAACTTGGAAATGGTGAATTTTGCCATAATAAACATAGACATTCGTATTTATTACTATATGCTGACTTTAATTCTTTTGGATAAATACCGAGGAGTGGTGGAGCTGGGTCATGTGGTAGTTTGATTTTTGGTTTTTTGAAGAAATTCCTTATTGATTTCTGTGGGGCTGTACTAATTTGCATTCACATCAACAGTGTATGAGTCATCCCCCTCCCCATATCCTTGCTAGCATTTGTTATTTGTGGACTTAATGATTGCTGTTCTGACTAGAGTTAGATGGAATCTCATTGTAGTTGTGATTTCCATTTCCCTGATGCCAAAAGATGAGCACTTTTCCATAAATTGAATTCCATTTGTACTTTTTAAAAGAAGTATCTGCTTAGTTCATTTGCCTATTTATTAAATAGACTGTTTTTCTGATGTTGAATCTGAGTTCTTTTTACATTCAAATATTAATCCTCTGTTGGAAGAGTAGCTGGCAAAGATTTTCTCCCATTCTGAGGGCTGTTTCTTCACAACGTTAATGATTTCCTTTGCTGTGCAGAGACATTGTAATTTGATGCCATCCTATTTGTTGATTCTTGCTATTTATTTCCTGAGCTATGGGAGTCCTATTCAGAAAGCCAACACTTTTTACTCTTGTCTACTCTAAGGAGCTCTTCAACATGTTTTTCCTTATTCACTTCTCCCTATGAAAACTTAATATCACTCTGCTAATTAGAAGCAAGGAGTTCTACCGATGGAGCCAGATGTATCACTGACATGTAAGATGAGCAAGTGCCAAACTGACTAAGTGATGTTCGGTGACCTGCATGTATGCTGCCACCTGAGACAACCTTGCAGGTACCCTTGTGGACATTTACCACTCTCTGGGTCACCACAGGGACAGGCCCTGGTGGGCACAGTATTACCTTGTTGAAGATTCTTTGAAAATAGGTAACAAGTCTCACCTAATCCTAGTGAAAATAGTCTCTGGGTTGGGGCCCATGCATCTGAACTGGAATCAAACCTTTCTTCCACAGCGGTGCCTTGATCCAAAACAGGTCATTCTTCACCCTATGCTTGGGAAAGAATGCACTAGACTAAAAACTACCACCCAGTTGTCAAGGTATCCCTTCTTCCTGCCATCATCAATCCACAGATTCACCCCAGCAGAGTGGGGCAATGTGTTAGTCAGCTTTTCATTGCTGAAATAAAATACTTGAGACAGTCAAAAGGAGGGGAGATTTATTTTGGCTCATGGGTTCAGAGGTTTCAGTCCACGGTTGGCTCAGTCACTCCTGGGTCTGTGGTGAGGCAGTAATATCATGGCCGTGGAAGCATGCAGCGGAGGAGCCGCGCAGCTCATGGTTGCCAGGAGGCAAAGGGAGAAAGAGGAAAGGGCCAGGGTCCCCAGGATACACAAGGGCATGTCCACAATGACCTACTTCCCCCAACTAGGCCACACTCTGTAAGGTTTTCACATTCTCCCAACAGCACTATCCTCTGGGGACCAGGCACTCAACACATGAGCTTTGGGGGCCCATTTAGGAACTAGACCACATCTTCATAAAAGCAGATCCCAGCCACGAGAGAGGCTGAGAGAGGCTGGCCCCTGGGTAAGGGGAACTGAGGAGGCAGGAGGCTCGGGGGAGGGTGAATAGGGGATGGAGAGAAGGAGAGAGGGAGAAGGCAAGAAAACATGGAGAACTCAGAACAAAAGAGGGCGAAACAGCTCTGAGAGGAGAGGCAAGGAAGGGGAGGCCAGGGGCTACGCTCTCCCTTTCAAAGACGGAGGTAAAGTCCTCCCACTCAGACCTGGGGGACATTATCACTTAGCAATTAAAGAAAAGTTTGATCTGTGTCTGAGGCCTCATTCAATCATTTGCTGAGTGGATGTTTTAAGACAATCTTTATCTTCTTTAAGATGGAATCTCCTAAAAAAAAAGACTCAATCTCCTTATATGCAAATGTAGAATTATGGGGATTTCATGGAGCATTGTATTTGAAAGCGGGTTATAAATACAAACACTGTTATATTAAATTGTATATTATATTAAATATATTAAACAAACATTAAATTAAGACTCTGAAGCTCATTTCTTTCAAATCTCCTTCTATTTTTACAGATAAAGAAACCAAAGCCCAGAAAAAGTGGCTCACGGGATACCACAGGATTATTGGGCTAGTGACAAAGTACACTCTGCAAGTCTCACAAGCCAATGGTGAACAGGAAGTGCAGGGACATCCCAGCTCAGCACCAGGCAAGAATGAAAGTGGGCCACAATTGTCCCTGTAGTGCACAAGAGCTGTCCTCCCCAGTGAGTGCCATGGGCCCTGGTGCCCCAAATTCACAGGACAGCCCAGCACCCAGGCTGGTCCATGGGCTGGATCTGGATACCTGTATCTTCAATCTCACACTGTCCACCCCCCTCAGTGGCACTGGCAGGAAGAGAGGCCAATCCTAGCCTCCTCTGATCCCAGAGGACAGAAGAGTCCGCTTTAGAGGAGAGCAGCCATCTCTGCAAAAGTGCCCCACACTGAGACACCAATGCTGCAGCCTGCCATTAAGAGGCCCCCTTCAGTGTACCCTCCAGCCTAGAACATAACTGGAAAAACTACAGACGGGTCAGTTGTTTTGAAGGCAGAAAGGGAGGAGCTGGTCAGTACAGAGTCCAGAAACACAGACATGAAAGCCAGAATTTACCAGATTTTCCCCAGTGCTACCCAAGGAGAAAGACTTCATTTAGGAGACAGTAAGTACTCTATTCCAGAAGTGAAATCACCTAGAAGAAGAATATATTTAAGAATGTCTTTAAGGATATACGTAGAAATATCTCAGCATGTACTTTGTGACTTGCCAGCCTAATAACCATGTGATGGCCTTGTTTTTACTTCAATTTCTTCATCGGTAAAAATGAAGGATTTGAAAGAAATGAGCATCATAGTCTCATACAGCATAAAGATTAATAACTTAAAATATGGATTTATTTAATGTTCTTAAAATACATTTAAGCTTTTCCCTACCCTGCTGAATTTTCCCCACAAGTTCATCCAGTTAATCTGAGTTCTCTGTCAGTGTTCAGTGGGAGTACCAATTAAGTCATCCCTAGAGACAGAAGAGACAATTACAACAAAATCAAAGATGTGAATGAACTTTTATTTGTGGTTTTAGAAATCAGGTAGTATCTCACTCTACAAAACTGCTCTGATGAGCTGAGCCGAGGACACTGGCTTTACAGAAAGAAGGGGGCTGAAGACAGCAGAAGCAGAAATCAAAAAGTGGATCTCCTGTCAAAGTTACCTCCCTGGTAAAGAGCAGCAGGGGCCACCCTATCATGTGACAAAAACTGGCCTACAGGGGACTTGTCGGTTCTGATTTCTTGGAAGGTCAGATAACAACCTTGTTTCAACTTAGTGGCGTGGAACTTTGTTGTGAGTGAATGTTTCTGTTTGATCTGTTGGGTCTAGTGTGGTAGCTCAGATCAAACCAATGGCCTCCTATAAATTTAACAGTAGCAGCCCTGCAAAGGAGAGAAAAATGTGGCTAGGCATGGGTGGGTGGGTAAGTACATGGGGTGGGGGTGTCTTCTAAGCAGGCATGAGTATTTCGGCCACCACCATATCCTTTAATGCTAATGAATAAACTGGGCTTCTGTTAACATTTATTTTAGTGTCTCTCAGTCCTTTGGAATCTAAATAGTCAGGTATAATTGAGTTTTTGGATCAGTAAGCTGCTGCCTTGGTTCTTCTCAGGATTCATCCCTGTCTCTGTGAGTCCCCCACACTTCTTCACCCCACTTTCTGCCATCTCAGCTACAAGAATATTCTCAAATTGACCAAATCATATATTTACATTTAATCTTTAACCCACTCCATTTTGATTTATCAAATATATATCAACCATCTATAATCAACCAAATACTGTGCTAAAATCTGGCATTACAAAGATAAATAAGACATGTCGCCTGTCCTTAAGGAACACAAAAGCAGTACTTTATCACTCAAAGTGGTCTACAGGTCACCAGTGTTGGCATCACTTGGGAGCTTGAGAGGAACTGTGGCATCTCAGACCTACTGAATGGGGATCTATATTTTACCAAGATCCCCGTTGATTTGTGTACATAATGTTTGAAAAGCACTGGCCTAATAGGAACTAACTCAACTAAGCCATCTTGAGTTGAATTTTATGAAGCAGTATAAAGGAAGTCGGTGGGATTGTGGAGAAGAGTGGGGTTATTTCTGATAGGGGAGGGGTCAAGGTAACCTTTACAAAAGAGTGGACATTTACACTGAAATTTCAGTTGAAAGGTTGGACAACATGGAGGGTAGGGAGAAGACGAGGGTGGGAACATTCTGTTGGGGTGGGAAGGAGGCCACCTTGGAAACTAGACTAGGACAGACTAGAACAAAGGTCTTTTAAGAGCTCCCAACTCTCACCCTGGGATGGCTGGTGCCACCCAGGCAGTAGGTGCCATGTTCTCCTTGGCACTGACCCAGATGACAAGTCCTTCACCACTTGACCTCTACCCTGGGAGGTGATGTGTGTGTGAACAGGGAGAGGCCTCTTCCCAGCTCCTTGCCTTCAGTGACCCCTCAGGGATGAGGGGCTGATGTTTGCAGTCAGCAAAGGATGCCGAATCTCAGATCTCATGCCAGGCCATCTGGCCCCTGGCAGCAACTCTGCAGAGCGACCTTGGTAAGAAGTGGATGCACGAATTCACACAGATTCCTGGCAGCCCAAACGGCCTCTGAGGAGAGCGTTTCCCCCGTTTTGGACTATAAGGGAAGTTGATTCTGGAGAAAGTAGAAAAATAGTGAAAAATAATGGAAAGGGATTGGGGCAGGAGTCCTGTCCTGGCCCCTTGCTGTGTGTCATCTCCAGCCCTGATAGAGCCTGTGATTCCGGCACCTTTTAGATAGTTTTAGAAAAGTCCGACACTCCCCCCCTTTTCAAAAATAATCAGGTTCTCTTGGAATTCACTTCCCAGTGTCAAAATAAAGCACTCTTAACCGGGACATGAACTTTACCCAAATCTCAAGAGCCGTGTCTGTTGGGTTGTCCATCAGGGTAACATTTAGGGAAAAAACATACTAAGTAATAATGAAATAGTTATTAAACATCTACTGTGCTTTGGAGAGAGGGGGCAGCTGAGTAGGGCACTAAAGGAGCAGAATCTTGAGTTCTGGTCAAAAAGGTTCTCAGACATATATTTAGAGAAACATGACATATTTGTACAGAAGAAAGCAGTATATAATTCCATAATAAAGTGATCTATTAATGATAATTGTTAACAGCTGACAGTGCTAAACACTTTATAGGAATTATTTCATTTATTCCACACAAATCTATGAAGCAGTCATTTAGGAAATTTTGGCAATAAATAATAGAAAACCCTGATGTCATTGGCTTAAACAACAACAAAAAAATATTCTTTCATTTAATGACAATGTTAGAGGAAGTGCAGTGCCTGAGCTGGTTAACTTGGTGGCTAAATGAAGTCATCAAGATCCAGTAATTTCTAGTTTTTCTCTCTGCCATCCTCATTGACCTCATCCTCATGTTAGCAACCACCACGGTTTCAAGATGGCGGCCATGCTTCAGGACACCATATCCTCACATGTGCAGATACAGAAAGGAGCTTTATTTTATATGTTTATAACATATCTACAGGGACCCATAGTAGATTTTTTCCTATTGTTCATATTTATGACAGGGGAGGGACTCACCCAAAGATTTTCCTGGAAGGTACCCTTGAGTCTCCCTGACTGAGCCTGGATTTCATCCTGTACCTCAACCCATCACCAGCAAGGGAGCCACAAGGCTGGCTGAGCCCAACCTGCTTCAGTCCTTGCAGCCACAGCTGGTGCTCATGCCCCTGCTCTCTGATGCACCTGAGAGGATGGAGGGTAGATACCGAAATAATAACAAAATAGCTAATTAAAAATGGGGTTCTATAAGAATAAAAGGCAGATGGCTATTAAGGCCAAATATTCCATTTTAGAGTTTAAGAAACAGATTCGGAGAGTGCAAGTAGTTCAAGGTTACACAACACGTAAACAGCATTAAAAGAAAAATTCAACCAACAAAATTTAGTAGTTTATTTGAGCAAAGAAAAACAAAGACAAAACAAAATATAAACAAGTCATGAATTCTGCAGCCCCCGGACTCAAAACAGGCTCTGATAACTCCAACTAACAATCTGACAGCATTTATAGATGGTGGGAGGGACACGAAGAGACAATTCATGACAGCTTTCTTGGTTAACTGGTCACAGAGCCTCCAGTTGTGAGCGAAAGCTCAGGGACTGTGATTAAGCGCTATTTTGGTTTGGTCAGCTGGGCCCAGTGGAGGAGCCTAGTCCACATTGATGGCCTCCTACAAATTTTATTTACTATCAGTAGAGTTGGAATTTAAAGCATATCATATTCCCTGGCACACCCCAAATCAGGACCAATGTTGTGCTTCCCGGCAGGCTTCCCTGCCTTCCTGGTCCCTGTCTCCCCACTGTTGCCCACTCTGGGGTCACAGCCTCCCCTGCACCTCCTCTGCACCACATCTTTTATTTGCTCCCCCAGTCTCCTCTAGGGAGGAGACCAGGTGTCATTCACTGTTCTGTTTCCCTCCCTACACCCTACACTGTGCTTATTTACTTTTTAAATCAATCTCCATTTACCATTCTCACTGGGCTGGATTTTCCTCCTCAGGTCAAAGCGTGTCTCCTTTCCTTTGCTTCTTCCTCAGCCTTACTAGAACACAGCCCTAACACCCAGGAAATGTTCAGAATAAATAAGGGCTCAAACTTTAGGCTCTGACAGGCCAAGGTTTCAGTTCTGCCTTTGCCACGTATTAGCCATGTGACTTTAAGCAAATGGCTTATCTAAGCCATAATCTCCTTATATTCAAAACAAGGATATTAATACACAAGAATTAAATGAAATAATATGGTTTCAGCACAAATGGGAATTATTATTTTTGATTAAAATAAAATGAAAAGTAATGTTAGTGCAGTGCATCAGTTTAATGCTAATTGCTTGTTTGAACATTTTCTAGTCTGATCCTCACAACATTAGGTGAAGGATGAACCTTCCCTGTGACAGTTGAGGAAGCTGAGCAGAGTGAGCTCATATTTTC